GAAAATACACAAGGTAACAAGTGAAATAAAAGAACGTGTATTAAATAACCAAAACATAATGTAATCATAGATCCTTTTAACAGGCCTGCGTCAAGATGAAGATAGAAGGGCAAAGGAAATGAATTCAAATTAAGAGGATTTAGAAACACAATCCAAAAGTTAATCGCTTATAACACTGCACAAGAAACACGGTAAAAAAGATTTTTGAATGACAAGCACAGGAAGTTACGACAAACGTCGGTCAGCTCGCAGGGACAGAAAAATTTCTGAAACACCTTCGCAGTGAAAGTCTCAACACATTTAAAAGTAGCAGCTCTCAATTATCCCTTCGTAAAATAAAAAACACAAACGAGTGAAGGCAACATAGGCTGTTCTAAACGTGCGAGCTGCGCAATTCGGAAGTTAACAAATGCTGATCATTGTTGATGTCCAAGGACTCTTCAAAGACGTACGTTTTTGGCACAAAAATTGAGAACTTTCGTGAGATTACTCATGTTTCCATGGCTGGAATTTCCTAAGTTTGGTGAACTGTTTAACTCTTAACACTGTTACATCAGTATCCATATTCTCCATATTATACTCTTTACATTTCCTTTAGTACTGATTAGGAGAATTCGTTTAACAATCAAGGCGATCATTTCTTTTATTCTCATAATCTAAATGAATTGAAATGATTCAGCAGTATTATTGTAAGGAGAAATTAAATGCTAGTCACTCTAACAGTTTATAAAATTAACCTATTTGTACCCTTTCGAGCGGTTGGTAAGATTAAGAACACGTAATTTATGAAACCAAAGGTTGGAAAGAGGAAGAACATTCAAATCTGAAAAATGAATAGTGATACATAAATTTTAAAAAATTTCTGGGTATCAGCTAAAATGTATTATATCCATAAGGGGTCAAAGGCATCCTAAGTTGGTACGTGAGCGAAGAAACCTTCCGAGTAATTATCATTAAATCTTAAGACCATAATGAACTGCTCGAGCATCTGGTAATACGTCAATGGGACTGATTAATCCGCTTACAAGTCGGCAATATAGATCGATAATTATAAAGACTACAGGCAAGGAATTGTGCCAAACTAACTTTTGTTCCAGAAATAGCTTTTGTTTTCTTAGCAACAAATTTCTGCTTCTTTATTTATCGATGTCAAGTTTCGTAGTAACAATATTTGTTCAGAATAACTTATTAAGGAGATTAGAGGGAAAGGGCTAAGAATTCTATTTAAATCTTTTTTCCCCATGGTTAACGAGTCCTTTACTTCAAAAAGGCAAGAGTATTTCACTGTTAAAAAAAAAAAAAATTTGGTGAATAAAAGGCCACATCTAAAACAGGATGACATCTGGCCGTGTTTTATCACGAAAGCAACCTCATTAAACCATTTCTATGCTGATCAAAGCTACTTTAGTTACCAGTTGATATATAGCAATTGATATAAGATATATAGCCTGTAATTACGTTATATCACATCATCTTGAACGACCATACAGATTGAAAAAATAATGCACGTGTGAAAAGCTTATATGTAAACCGAAAGGTGACCTCTTCTCTTGGTGTAAATCCTCCTCAGTTATGGAGCAAGTTCTCACAGAGGTTGAGAACAAATCAACACAAACCAAGCCATCAAGATGTTTTGCCAGTCCTACACAATCGTAAACAACCCACTACCCCACTCCCGTAATATTTCGGGACTAAAATATCATCTTTAAGTGAAATTCATCCGATTTCCTTCAAAAACACTTTCGAAGATCTATTGAAACGTTTAACCCATTTGTTCCTTCCATAGTTGCTCTAATAAAACAAATATGCGAGACCAATGGTAAGATAAGGGTAAGGGTAGTAAACTGTCGTTGTGGCTCCAAGTTCTCGTCCTCAGAATAATCGGCAAAACAGATTTCACATTCTATGAAAATTTTAAAAGAATGCGTCGAAGTTAAGTCAAGATTAACAAACTTCATTTTGTAAAAGATGGTCCGACCCTTCGTTCCAGTATTGTTACAGGTGTTCGTAAGTTCCAGTGAGATATATCAAACAAAGAAAACTTGCGCTTTTGAAGTGGAAGGCTTTCTAGCTTAGATTGTGAAAATGCTTACCTACATTTTTCGGGAGTTGCTTTTGTACAACTACAATAGTTCTAACGAAATAAGAATCTTGGCAAACACAGAGGAAATAATTGTGTTATGTTTCTATGGCCTAAGAGCAGAACTCCCCCGCAAAAGACACTTGAGTGAAAATCACGCCAGTTCACAGGTCTCTCGGGGTCATAAAACACAAGTAGAATCATTTCCCGATATTCCCACGCATTGTTCCGCTTAAACCTAATCGGAAATTCTTATATATTTCGAAGGAGGAAATTTGTAATGCAACGACCAATTATCCACGCGAAATAGAAAATGAAAACTGAATTTACATTTTACGCCAGTCGCATCGACACAAACGACCAAATTATCCACATGAAATAGAAAATGAAAACTAAATTTACATTTTACGCCAGTCGCATCGTCACAAACGACCAAATTATCCACGTGAAATTGAAGACAAAAAACTGAATTTACATTTCCCGCCTGTCACATTACCAGACGTATCATTTAGGGAGTTCCAGCCTTCAGGCTTTTTCCCGTGACAGAGAAGCATTCAGGAAAAGGCGTTTGACTTTTAAAAATTTCGGTGTGCGAGAAAGGGATTTTAACACCAATATTCAACAACAATAACAAATAGGATCTTACAAATAGGCGAAGTCTACGGCACTTTACATCAGAGAGAGAAGTTAGGAACCACCTGGTTCGATGATCTGAACAGACCAAACAAAAAAGCCTTTCTGTATAAACCGGTTAAATTCACCGCCTTAAATATGAGAGAACACTGTAAAAGCAAAGGCAAGCCAATTTAAAAAAGTTGGCGATCCGAGGGAAAAAGCAGAGACAATCTCTTGTTAAAACATTTAACGACCGCCAAACAAAACATTTACTTAGGATATAACAAAAACATCCTCGACAAATGAACAAAAGATTATTTAAGAAACAAATTTTGACCCTTCCTGTTTTTTAAAACTATTCCGGAGATCTCGTCTCAAAAGGTAGACTTCGAGCCTGTATGATGCTGTAAATACCAGTTTGAAACATCATAAAGGATGAGAGTGCATTTCCATCCCCGCCACCGCAACTCGCCCCCTCCTAGCAACGACTATAAACATGTTTTTCCTAAGGCTAAAATTGACAATACGGGGTGGGAACCCGGAAAATTAAGTAATTGCATTACACAACCAGCCATTTTAATTTAACAGGTAATAACTGCGAAAATTTTTTATTCAGCCAATAGTTGACAAACCTCTCGGGAGATTTTCCGTTTCAGACAAATATTTGCGATAATTATTTCGACGCGCCCCCGTGCGAAAATTGCAAACTTTCTTGTCTAACGAGCAGAATATGTGGAACTCGGACAATAATTATTGAATAAAGTTAAATTTACTTTGTATTTATTTGGAACTCTTCTGTAAATGTCACAGAACTTCTCTAATCACGAGCGAAAATCTCGATTTGAAACAAAAGCTAAGAAATTGTGAAGGAACTCTCAAGAAAAAGACGTCATTTTTAAACTCCAATAACACTACAAAGCTGGAAATTCTGAACCAGATATTACAAAAATAAACGCATCTCTGGGAAAAAAATACTTACATTAAAACTAAAACAGACTAAGAAAAACAGGAACGATGGACAATATTGTTAAAAACAAAGAAAATGATTGAATTTTATGGTTCATTTTTTGGTGTAAAAGCCACTAACACTAAAATACGATTTACACGTGGCAGATAAAGCACTAATTTCCAGCTACACGCACTCAAGATTAATATTGGTGTACTTCACAGCAAATTATTGACAGGATGTATTAAAAAAAAAAAAGGAGAAATTTTGTGTAACAATGAAACGGAAAGGTGTTATGCCGAGGTTGACAAAAAAAAAACGTCTTACTGAACTTATATCTCGCTCAGATCTGGTTTGAAAATCCAACAAGAAATGAGACGTCATATCAAATACAGGGATTTCCAAAAGACTATTGTCTTTAATCTTATTTTAATGGTCTTTAATTCTTTATTTTCCTTTTTTGGCTTTTTCCTTTCACGATCGACCAAAGAATTCGACCTATCACTTTCACAGTAGATGTGTCGAGGCTTTTTAGCGCATGAATATTTCTGATGACGAAAATTGCTGTTCTCCTTGCACAAAGTAGTATAGAAAATTAAATAGTATCCTGCAAAAGCCTCCTCAATGGCTGCACTCCACAGCGCCCCTCGAACACTCATTTTGTCTTTCAGTTTCAGCAAAAGAAGTTTTATTTTAAATCATTATTATAATTATTGATTTGTTTTTTCTTTTCATTTTTTTTCTAGTACACAAGAAGCAACCTTGAGGCCAAACGTTAAGCTGGCGATTGAAAAGCTGTGTTGTACACAGTGAAGTTTTTCAGTGAGTTTCCTTTTGAAGATTGGCAGGATTTTGCGTTTCGCACTTGAAGAACAATCTTTTGCGGTTCGAAATGAACGGCATTTCTGCTGGGAACTATTTCGTTGATTTTTGGTTGAAACAACAGAGCACAAGGAGAGAGGAGATACTTCATATCATCCAACCAGTCGACTTATTAATTTAATTAAATTTAATCAAATTTGCGGTGCTTTCTTGGTATTTTCAAAATTTTTCATTATTTTTTCCTCAGGAACTTATCATCGAAAAGTGTGCACAATCTCCCTAATCCACACAACTCAAATTCGCAAAATTTTTGTGAATGTGCGTTCCGTTACGAAGGTTGGGAGTACTCGAAGCATTGTGCACGAGTCACCAATTTATCCTTCACTTCAGCTCAAAATTCGCAAAATTTTTATGAATGATTCGTTCTGTTTTGAACGTTGGGATTACTCGAAACTTTGATTCTTCTGCATTATGCACGTGTCACCAATTTATCCTGCACTAGAGCTCTACACTGCTAAGACTCTACTGAAGTTTTACCTCAGTTACAGCTAGTACCGTCTCGTCTCAAAACTGCCTCTGCTTCTCTTCCGCTAAACCGGGCTTCATTTACTTCTTCTAAAGTAAATCAAACCAAGACACGATCACTTATATCTGTTTCAACCGGGTTAATGGCATGCAAATCTATTTAACGACCTTCTTTTATTGCTTAAGGACTGTTTGCCAAATAAAAGGTCACCCACATATTGCGCAAGTTTCCCTTTAGCTGGGTTTTACGATGGGAACGCGTTTAAGATACGTTAAACGTACTTTTATTTACATCTTTGTTAATAATTACTAAGCTTACGTTAAAGATGTACCAAGAAAAAAGGCAAAAGTTACAGATGGGAAGATGCCGACAACAAAACTACTTAGATTCACAGACATGGTTTAATACTACCTTGGAGAAAGATCAAGGCCCGGATTGTGTTCGTATTTGTCTGATGCGATTAAGTGCTTCCGCAAATTGATTTTGTAAATATTTCTTTGAAGTGATGGGAAAAACGCCAAGTCGGCGACAAAATGTCCTGAGGCGAAGTTTCCTAATTTCCGACAATTTACATAGTTACAGATCAAGGAACACTCTTTCTTAAACTAAAAAAAACTTGGAGTTGATTATAAGAAACTGTTCGTTCGATCAAACAGTCGCTTATTATGTCGAGACTTAACTAGTAATAATAAAAAAAAAATTCCCATTGAACAGGCACGTGCCACAAATATATTATCGTATCAGCAAATAAATACTTTTATTGCAAAATGATGCTTAAGGGATTTTAATGCTGACTGACGTCAAATAAGATTTCATGCGATTTCTTACACCGTTTTTTGGTTCAATCAATGACGAAATTTTATTGAATTGATTTATGTTTGGTTTGTATCAATACAACGGGGATAAACATTTCCAAGAATTTTTTCTGTATATACTGCAGCCAGGCAAACCCAACGAATAATTCATTTCATTAAATTCAAAGTCCAGTTGCGGAGAAAAAACACACTTAATCTAATTTTTGATCAGCCTCTAATTACAGTCATAAACAAGATTACTGAATAAGGATTGGTAATAAAAGTATTATCTTAATGAAGGCATTATGTGAATATTTACCCGGGAAAGTCTAAACCTGGACTAACTGTCGGCTCTCCGGTAATGTTAAAAGTTTAGGGTAATAATAATCATGATCATAATAACAAAAATAATAGCAACAATAACAATAGCAATATTATTGTAGAAATGACATTTTAGTTCTTCCATTTCCTTTTAACAATTTCTTTGAAAATCAATTATGTTACATATAAGCTATCTTATTGTGCAAGACAAAACATCATTATTATTTGTTCACGTTAATAGTGGCTAAACAGTAAAAAATTGTGCATCCGGTGAATCCTTTACACTTTAACATCAGTTTATGCATAATCTCCGTTTTATTCCCTACCCAATTGTTATTGTACTGACGTGGATGATTTTTTAACGACCTACAGTTTCTTTTGTCGGCGATCGTTTCATATATATTCATGACCTTAATATTTGATTCAGCGAGGATATAGCAAAGATAAATTAGATGCCAGTCATAACCTATTTGGTGGTACATAGCTGTTGCACTGACATGGATAATTTGTTTAACCATCAATAGCTTCCTTAGTCGGCGATCATTTCATTTATATATTAATGAACATAATGTTTGACTCAGTTATAACCTATTTGGTGGTAAATAACTTTTCAGGCTATCAGAGGAATTCTCTTGTCCCATCAGAATCCACTTACCCGTGATTATGCGCTTGATCCCGGCGAACTAAGCCCAGGCGCGTTCTTGTTAGTCAAATCTGTCCTCTGTTTGCCATACTGAATAATCACTGGTTTACCCTTAAAAATGAAGCCGTTCACCTGATTCAAGGCTTTATTCGCTGTGTCGATGTCTACAACCGAACCAAAAAACCAAGAGAGGATTAAAATTGTTCATTGGTTAAAAAAAAAAAATACTTAGAGTGAGTCCCCCCAGTCTCGTGTAAAGCATCGTAGGTAGATTTCAAAGAAAAATAACCACATTCTGCAGAACAACAAAAACTTCAGCCTAAAAAAACTCTTTACGGTGGCAGATTTACATTATCAACTCAGTTGATGCAGCACCACAGTTTCTTCATAAACTTGTCCCCCTTACATCATCGCTGTCATATGTACCACTATAGAAGTCTTGAATACAGAGCCTAAGAAATTGAACTGCGGAATAAAGAATGTTGAATTGATGCAAAAGCATCACGAACCTTGAAGAATTCGTCTTCTGAACAAACCTCACCTGGCATAGTCACAAACGCTTGTCCAATCATCTTTCCCTTCATAAGTCTGAAAGTAATTTTAGGTCCCTCTTTGTCCTGAAATCTTATAAACAGAGAGACCAGGTCTGCTTCCGTTGTCTTATGATGCAAATTCTTTACGAATAGGACCTACGAAATATCAAAATAACCGTCGGGTATTTTAGGTCAAATTCGTGACAGGTCAGGCTCCTGTGTGGCGACCAACACTACTGGTAAGCTACAAGAGTGTTTGTAACTGGCTGTAGCTAGCTGCTAATAAGAAAGTGAAAAAAATAACAAATAATTTTTACTTGAGTGTCGAAAGTAATCCAAAACTGCGTTGGCTCTGCTGTACTACGCTGTGTTATGGGTCCAGAGATCTCGACACATTTTCCCAAATTTAAGTCAGAAAACACCAAAATTTTTTTTCTTACACCATATGCTAAGAAATTTCGCCAGACAAGTGCTAACGAGTTCTTGATATTGAGCAGTTTCATGCCATCCTGTTGCTGCAAGAATTTGGGTGTCAGACAAGCGGCAAAAGACCCACAGGTCTGCTAAAGGGTTTTGAATACCCCGCAAAATTCGCCTAAATCCACCACGTACTATGGTGCAGGGTATGTACTATGGTGCAAGGTGCGTCCTACTACTAAACGACGTTGCACATACGTTCTGTCCAGAAAACTCAATGTAGACTTGAGCACTTCCAGAAGTAAAAACCACTCATACAACTTACAGATAAACTTACAGATACCTTGTTTGGTTCTCCTGGGTGAAAATTTGCAAATTTTGGAATCTCCTTTATTTGCTCTACCGACAGTCTATTTTGAAGAATTTCTTCCTCTTCAATAGGTTTAACGTTATCAGGCAAGCGGGTATCACTGCCGTCGTTGTTTTCCAACGACTCCTTTTTGACCAATGAACTTTGACTGGAATTATCACTGACTTCTACCAAATGTTCACTAGCTCGCTCTGGGCTGTTGGAGGACGGTAATTTTCGTTTGGATTTGGACAGTATCTGATCCGCTTCCATTAGAGTTTGCAAGAGTGGATCATTCACATGAATGGCTGAAAGGAAGGATATGAATCACAGAGTGACAATAACCATTGATAGTTTTTACAAAATGTAGCTGAGTTGTGGAACTTCCCGTACCCAGTCTCTCGTCTCTCACACCTCTGACTCCCGTCTCCTGCCCTTTGAAACACTTCAGCTTAATGATTTCCAAAATGTTCGCAATTTTAGATTTCTTTCTCACTTTCCACCACACAAAGTTCCAACTTCCCCACTTTTCATTTAGTTACAACAGAACAACCCACCTTGTTTTCTTGGTTGCACCAGATGGCTCAAACTGCTCCCTTTCTCCGTTCCCCTGTGAAGTGACTGTTCAACTTCCAAAGCATGCCTGCTCAGAACTCGCACGTTGGAGAATAATTCTGGAGAGGACAAGGCCTCCTCTCGCCTTTGGATTCTTTTCTCCAGCTCATTCAGCTTTTCTTGCTCAGCAACAGGATTGGCACCATATCGACCTATTTTGGGAGCCTGTGCAATCAATTAACAGGGTATTAAAATGAGCAAAGACATTGCAAATGGACTGAAAAAATTGTCAACCAAAGAAAATTCCTGCCCAAGAAGTTTATCTGAGCTGGCTTAACTCTTTACACCCTACCATCAAAATGCAACTTCTCCACACTGTTCTTTAGAAATTTCCTATGGCACTTACAGGGAGAATACATCAAACAATCAATAGCTTCTAGCGTTTCTGAAAACCTATTTTATCCTCATGAATGACCTTAATGTTTGATTCATAGGTAACCCTGTGGGGAGGAATTTGATGCTCGGCACTCTTAGGCGCTGAAGGGTTAATGATTTAAGCAAGCTTTTAACAACTTTTTATCTCTTGAGTGTGTTTGCTTTCCTTTGTTTTCTACCTCCTCTTCAGTTTTGTGGCTGAATTGTAAGTTAGACTTGCAGGCTGTGACCTCTGTGGGGTATAAGTGGCCCAAATATCCTCGTGCAAACAGAGCTCACCTTTGTAATATAACCTGCTCACCTTTGTAATATAACCTTCTTGCTCCAGTTTGAACTGGATTTCTTCTTCATTGAAGCCACACTCTTTAAGGGTCTGGACATACTGTTCATGATTCTGTAACAACCGATAATCTTTTAAACTCATTGCACCAGTTTTATCAGGACAAAATGGTTTGTAGGATGAAGAGGATTGAAATGACCTTTTCCTGTTCAACTCACTAACAAAAAATGAAAAAAAAAACATCAAATAAACAATGATAAGAATATTATTATTGCAATTTAGAACGATACTCCATTTCACATTTTGCATAAAACCAATTGTCACCTCTCCATAAGTAACTGAGCCTAAACAAGTTTGGTCCAGGCTATGGATACTGCAAATAGTCATGGTTGGTATATTGCTTTACATTTGCTTAACTTATAATGACACTCAGAGGTTGTTGTTTTTTCTATGACAAAAAATTAACTTGCATAGACAAAAGTCTGCAGCCAATTTCTAACTGGAGAAAAAATAGTGGCAAAATGATGAGTATGGCATTTCTCCAATAGGAAGACAGAGGGCTGAATTTGTGTAACACTGCTAACACCTCCATCATCCTGCTCTACATGTTCAATTAGTAAAATGGAGAAGGACAGGTTACATACCCAAAGCAATTTTCTTTTTCTTTTTTTTTTCCCATACACTACTATCATGCCAATTACTATCACCCTGTCCCATTAACGAAAGGCCTGGAACAGGCTACACCTCAATGAAAACCATCTACACTATGCATCCCCTTGTGTGAATATGAAAATGATGTCCCAGCCTTCAGTCTAACAATGTACATGACTAGCTCACTCGCATGGATATAATACTTTCATTCACCACTTTTTCCTTGTAATAATTCCAAGCCAATCATTATACTACTTGGTTAATTGTTTACCTTTCAAGAGTAACATTGGTTTCAAGCTGATTCTTCACCATACCCCTCAGGTGTTGATCAGCCTCAGACTCTGTCCCAGACCCTGGGACTCCAAGACGTTGATCCTCAAATGGTTTGGAGTCATTCCTGTTCATACGAATAACTCCACGGCTCTGGTAACGAGATGGATTTCCACTGATACAAGACATAACAGATACAATAATTAACTATAACCAGATGCACTTTTTCTTTCCTTTTCAAAAATGAAGGTCTGATCATGCAAAAAAGAAATTTGCGTTTTGCTTCAAATAATATTCTTCTGATGTTAAGTTGCATTCCACCTCAGATCTGTCAGAAGATGATTCTTGTGAAAATATCCATGAAAAGAAAACTTAGTGATCCAATGATGAACCAATAATTTAACTTGACAATTTAGAAATATCATGAATTCTCCGTATCTTGCAATGCGCTGATACCAAATTACCATATTTTGTAGGCTTAGCTTAATTAAATAACATCTATTTAATTATGATGTATTTGAGCTCACTAACTCTAGTAACAGCCAGTTTTCACTCATGAATGGGTCAGAGCTGTGATCAGAAGTATAGAATGATACAATGCAGTGAAAGTCACACCAGCAGAATCAGAAATAATATACTGGTGGTGCTTGTAAATACAAATAGCTACAGGTTTACTGCTCTTGGAAGGCCTGAGAGCTGATATTTTGAGTAGCCAGTCAGTTTTTCTAATTTTGCAGCCAACCTTTTCAATATTAGTTTTCACTCTATCAGATAAGCAATTAACAGTCATAAGTAGAATTGGAGGAAAAATGGAAACATTGTGATTCTTTTGACTCTGATCATTCGAATCTTTCTTTTACTCTTCACTTACCATGGAATTCCAGTCTGTTCATATGAGGTTGGATCTGGCTTAAATGGTTTTCCACTGACTAAAAGTTGTAATAAGACATGTTTAAGTTTAGAATGACAATAGGAAATGCTTTAAACCTTTTTGACCCTTAAACTCCCATAAGTGACCAAGAAAGAATTAAAATTTTTAAGAAAGAACCCCACACATTTAATAAAGGATTTAAGGTAAATTTACAGGGGTTTTATATCAGGTGCCCATGATGAAGGTAACTCTCTTGACCCCTTGGGCACTAAGGATTTATTTGAACACTTGAACATCGAAGGTGATCGATAATTTAGATCCGATGGTCATGCTCAATTGTTCAAGAGTTCATCTGCTTTCAATAGCAATCTCAGAATGCCTGTTATGATACTGTGCCTAAAGTGTCTTCACCTTGTCATTGAACTGAAGCAAGCCAGCGGAAAAAATAAACTTCTTTTCATCGCTGCTACGTTCCCTAATTAATCCCGAATTAATTTAATCTGAAACTAAGTAAGTTGAGTATAAAAATTAGCGGCTAATATGGTCGACTAATAAATTCTTCATTTTACCTGATCCTCCAACCATCTTTAAATCGTCTGAAAAATTACCGTTGGGATGAAATAAATCGTTTTAGGTTTAAATGTATATAACATGAAAAAGTATCACTATTCAACATCAAATCGGCCATCTTGGAAAAGTAATTGCAGGGATCTGGGCATGAATATCTCACTAAGGGGCTTCAATAAAGAACTCTGGGACTGCAATGGCGGCTATGTTAGTCAGTCGTGTCCTGTTGCCTCAAAGGCTTTCTCAGCATCTTCCTAAGGTTCCGTGGGTCAGAATGTTAAGTTCTGACACTAGTGATAATGGAGAAAAACCAAAGATATCAGTGGAAGGCCACACGCCCACCCTCTCTGATTTAAAAGAAACACTCAAGGGAATAAGTACAGAAGCAAGCCGGCCAGTTGTGCAAGAAGTGAAAGGAGAAAAGGAAAAAGTTGTAAAAAAATCATTTCTAGAGATTCTTGTTCCCAAAGTGTCACAAACTAAGGGAGCGCCGATAAAAGGAAAAGAAAATGGAATTGCGAAGAAGGGCGAGGGAAAAATTTCAGTCGGTGGTATCCTTTCCTTCTTGGCGAAACCCTCACAAGAGCCTATAGGGAACAAAAGTCTGAAGAGTATTCGAGAAAGGTCATTGGGAAATGCTAGTGAGCTGAGAAAAAGTATTATGGGTGATAAAACGAATGTCAAATTTCCAGCATGGGAAGGAGAGAGATCACAGTGGATAGAAAAGAGCCTCGAGGACTTCGAGAAGGCACAGACCAACTCGACTACTGCTAAGGCACAAAAAACTGATCCCAAGCTGAATGAGAAAATCAAAAAGGTACTGTCGGGACTACAGGTGGGACCTCAAAAGAGTGGAACAGCTGAGAGGCTTGTTGCGGCAGCGGAAAACTGGGGTAAAACCCTCAACACTCGAAAGAGATTGATTCAAGAGGAATACTTACAGCAAACCACACAGAATTTGTCAGAGGCACCAAGCTGGGTGTCATTTGACGAGGGCGAGAAGACTGGGTTATTTGATAACGTCTTCAAGGAGGCAAAACACGGAAAGTTGAACCCCATCTCTCAATCTGATTTTTTGTTCCATCTCTTCGTCACAAACAGGTTCCAGACCCAAGAGTCAGTAGGAGTGTTGAGGAATTCATTCAGTGAACAAGTGAGGCTTTCCAACAGGCTCTGGACATACCCAATAGACAATGAAGTGTGTAACTCAGTAGAAGAACAGAATACCGGTTTTGAAGAGCATGTATTTCTGGAGTACTTATTGGATGAGTTTCCTAATAAAGGTCCAGTTCGCCGTTTCATGGAATTGGTCATCAATGGATTACAGAAAAATCCATTTTTGACTGTGGCACAGAAAAAGGAAAGAGTTGGATGGTTTCATGATTATTTTGCCAATTTTTCTGAAGAGGACCTTAATTTCTGAGAGTTGAATGTTAAAATCTCAATGTAATCTCGCTTTTGCAAGTAATGTATTAATTACCTTCAAGAACACAATTTGTTTCAGCCCTGTTTCAAGAAACTAGAACTTACCATTTGATGTTTGTAGCCTTGTGGTAACTGTGTCATAGGTGTCAGAGTGCTATTTATTATAATTTTTTTTACCTGAGTACATTTTTTTAACTACTGGTAGTCATTTTCAAGGTGCATAGATAGAGCTGCACTCAGAGACTGGAAAATGGACTTGTTGGCGATAGATTTGAGCAACTGTCACAACATTTTTGGATGAGATCTTTCAGTATTTGAAGGAAGTGTGCACTCACATGAACATAATAGTTGAGAGACCAAGACCAAGACCAAGACCACTGTTTTTGTAATGAGGCTTCAAGTAAGAAATTAAATGAAGATGAACCACAATTAATCTTAATGCATTCATTGGAATAGGGGCACTTCTTGGAATGCGGGTGCTTATTCAATAGGGCCATTATTAGCAAAAGCAAACTTGGAGGGGGCACATTTTAGTGAAAGAGTGCATATTAGAAGGAGAGCATTAAATGGAATCATTATTGTAACAGCAAATATCCCTCAACTAATAACTAAGCTTTACCCTTTGTACACTCATCAGGCAACAGAAAGTGTTAAGAGTTACATTGTATATCCACAAAAGAGAGAAAGAAAAAATAAGTTTAACAAGGAGGTTGATTTAATACATTTAATATAAATGCAATCACAAAATTTCCTATCTGGAAAGTTAAAGTAATTATACATAAAAACTAATAGACATACATCAAAATGGGTTTCTCACTGGCAAGTGTTTGTTAAAAAAAAACAAAAAAAAAACATAAATTTCTAGTTAGAAAAAAAAAAGGAATTCTGATCAAGATTTATGTGATGGTTTAAAAATTTTATTAAAAAAAAATATTTCCTAACACTTAATTAGCAACCCGCCACCTTCACTGCCTCTTACACAGCTGCTTGGAAAAATCCTTTTGTTAAAACCAACATCTTAAACCTTTAACTCCCATGATCTGATTGTTAATTCTCCCTTCAGCTGCTCAATATTTCCTTGTAAATTAGTTACAAGAACTTGGTTGAGATAAAATCCTTAACCTGATAAGTTTGAGTTCATTACCTGTTTTCTAGATAACGTGTGAATATTATAGGGAGAAGTTACATGTTAATCACTTCCTGGAGTTGAAGGGTTGAGACTTGCATGAGATGCTAATGCAAGAAATCAAGATTACAGCACTTTTAAAAAAAATGTAATATTTGACAATAAATTTGACAAGTGTTGTTGATCAGTTCCAACTAATAATAACCTTACTATGTCACAGTAAACTTGACTTAAAAATTTGGATTTTTACATTTTTTTTTTTAACAAATCCATCATAAAGGATATATAAATAAAACCTGTTCTGTTAAATTTCTAACTGCACATTGTGTTTCTTCTTTTCTTATATAAAGGTCTAGCCTCACTTTCATGAACATGTCATCTACTCGCTGAAATCTTGGGGGTCGCTGAAATCTTGGGGGAAGCTGCGAGATTCTCTATAATGACAGGTAGGTGACATAGCTTCTCCTTGATTGGTTCTGGTAATCTGTCTGTGTGATTGTATCTGAAAAAATAAATAGTACCATCTTATTTCAATACAAAGGAGGACTGAAGAGAAAAATACCTTAATGTCTGCACATTTACCATACCTATTAAAAGCAGACCAAAGTTAGTGTAACATAAGGATACAGGTCTATTGTAAAAATCAGAAAATAGAAGTCTGTTACAATACTTGGGCAATGAAAGACATATGCCAGACTAAGTGCTTATTGGTTTGGGAAAGTGTTGTATTTCACTAAAAATACTCCTGAACAACATATATAATACCTCTGATGAAGGTTCCAATGTTTGAAAGGCCATTTGCTTTTTTTCTCTTTCTGTCTTTTTTGTTTTGTTTTTTTTTCAAATTTTTAGGACAATATTTTTTGAAATAAAATAGTTTTCTTTGGAATCACACTTAAATTCAAGGAAGAACCCAGGTAAACAGTAACTTAAAACTTACAGCATAAGAAGCTGGCCCAATCCACAAGCCACTAAATGAATTATACAATGAACACAAAGTATCATTACCTTGTTATCATTCCACTACTATCTGTGTACTTGATACTTGTCACAGATGACTGAATGATCATCTGGGAGCCATCATTATACTGCACCCAAACCTCCCCACTGGACAACTAAAACAATCAAAGAACAATTTGTGATCAGTTTTCATTTGAGTGTCAAAGGTAATCAAAGATTAGATTGGCTTTGCTTTATGCCTTTTTCTCAACCAATTAGAAGAAAAATCAAGAACAATAAGGAGTTGTTCACCCTCCACTCTTGAGCCAATTGGCCTATTTCTACTCTCAATTAAAGTCGTATTGACTCCTTGTGCTATTTAATATTCCTTTGTTCAGATCAGCTATTGTAATTACTTTGGTTATGTTCTCATGAAGCACTCTGGGCCCAGCTGTTCAACAGCCAATTAGCACTAACCCAAGGTTAAATTTTAATGCAGGTTTCTTTAATTTCTTTGTTCAAAAGCCTGTTTGGGATACTTTTCTCTATTCTCTTAAGAACATCTAATCACAAAAAATTATGCTGGATTTTCTTTTAAAGCTTTCAGATCTGAAATCAATTTCACACCAATCCTGGGTTATCTTGACCCAGCTTTGAACAATCTGGCTCTGGATAATAATATAATAATATAATAATACTAAATCAGATTTGCAATGATAGAGAATTGCAAGCTTTAATTTGTCTAAGCCTTTTCTAAATCTTAGCTCAGTAAGTAGTAAAAATGTGAGAGCCTGGCAGGGGAAGATAAGAACAGTTTGCCTCCTTGCTTCATTTTTTCACCTTCCAATGTTTTCATTGGTTACTAATAACCACAAAATATTTCAAGCTTGTTTCATAAATCACAAAAAATCTAAGTAATTATTTCTTAGATTTTTCTTCAAAATATGTATATATGTACAGTCAAGTAGAATATAGGGGTAAGTTTCTAAAGAAACTGTGGTGCTGCATCAGTGGGAGAGTATAGCAGGTAATTTAGTGTTAACAACTGAGTTGAAAACATAAATTAGCCACCGTAAAGAGATTAAAGGTTGATGTTTCGAGCATTAGCCCTTCATTAGAGCGATCGCTCTGACAAAGGGCTAGCGCTCGAAACGTCAGCATTGGGTCAGTGCTAATTGGCTGTTTTCAACTCAGTTGTTAACATTAAATTACCAAGTAGAATATAGCTTACCTGTGATGCCCAGCCAACTCCTTGAACAAACACACTTTTGATGACTTGTGATGTTGAGTCCTGCCTTGACACACCCCTATCTGTTAGCTCACTCTCTTGGTTTCTTGCTTCTTGTCCACACTGAGATTTGGAGATCCTCTGCAATTCACTACCATGAGGTGCTGTCCTGTTGTCAACTCTTGTATTTTGCCCTGCTGAAGACTGTCTTGAATTGTGGATGGTGCTGGCAATGGTGCCATCAAATGACATCAGAGATGTCGACACTGGTGCTATGGTGCTAGGAGATGTCACAGTAAGATTTTCAAAGGAGTCTGGACGCCTGAGAAAGAACAAAGAATGAATAAAGACTTGTTGGATAAATTTTGTGCAATTTGGTTTAATGAAACATCTTTCACTAATTTGAACATCACTGTGAACATAATTCTATCATTTTCCTTCTGTTTCTATTTTTGTGTTCAGCATTACATTTAGCAGTTTCTCAATTCATCTCAAGAGTAAATGTATTTATCTTCACTAGGTACTCATTTTCAAATGTAATTCATAACTACAACAGTTTGATAGTGATTTACTTTTGCTAAACCACAAATACGATTACCCAAACAACAACAAAATACAAATTAAAAATATCAGATCAAATGTATTGTTCTTACCTGGTAGAATTATGATCTTCAGAATGAACATTACTCTCCTTTGGTGGCTTCCTGGATGCTGGTGGCCTACGGCACACAATAAATGGAAAGTACTGTCCCCCATTGCTGTCTAACTCTTCCTTGCTGATCAATCTCTCTAAATGAACACATTGCTGATAACATTTCTGAGCGTGTTCTAACAGTGGTTTCATCTCCTGCGTAGCACCTTCCACTCCACCAACAGACTCTAAAGTGTATGACACTCCTCCAGGCTCTATGATGCGTGTGCATTGATGAGATTGGTGGATTTTGGCCCCTGTGTAACAGTACTGATACATTTAGCACTGAATAATCTTGTCTAAAATTTTATCAACTAAAGGGAATATAGGTGAGACTGAAAAGAGAACTCTGTTTTAAAATAGAAATAAAACTTGCCATAAACCTTAATCCCTTGCCACAATTTTAATTTATCCTAAGTGTGTAAAACTATCATTACATATGGTAATCTAAATGATACATAAAATAACCCAATCTTGGTGCAAAGTCTCAATTTTGGGAGAGATAAACAATGTTCAGAGTTCACCTACATGTAGTAGGTTGATTGTCCAAAACATTTAAAATATTTCCACAATCCTTTAGTAATACACATGGGCCTGGGAAACCCAGCCACAAGTAAGACACTTTACATCATTATTGTTATTAATTTTTCTATGATCATGAAACTATATATATTGATTTCAGAGCTCTTACTCTGGCTGAAACCTGAATGAAGTTCACTGCAAAGATGAATGGTGAGATTAGGGGTTTTTGAAGGTCTGCCTAGCATTTTTGCTTCATCACAGTTCCCATCTTACTTCTGGAACAATTGATCTAAGAATCTCATAAGCAGTTTATTCTCTAACAACTTCATTCTGCTTCACTTACCATTATAAAAGCACACTTCAAAGTCTGGATGAGGAGAATTTTCCATCAACATGCACTTTGCATGTTTGGAATACATGGTAACCTAAAAGATCATTGAATTTTCTTAAGTGTCACTGGGCAATTATATTAGACATTATGCAGGAGGAAAATGAATTGAACTTTTCCTGTCCCTCCCCTCCCACCCTTCTGTGTTGCAAAACCTATTTGATGACACCCAAGAATTCTTAAACCACAAGGTAAGGTCCTAAAAGCCTGTTAACTCAGTCTCCCTAGGTCCTTGATCCTTCCACTCCCAAGATCTTATTGGTAATTCTCCTTAGTCTCTGCCATACAATTCTATTTATTTTAGTTCTGAGAATTTGTTATTAGATCAATTAATAATAATTATTGATATTTCTCTTTATTCTCATCATTTCTCTGCTTAATATTGTATGGATATTGTGAGGAGAAATTCTGTCTTGGTCACTCATGGAAGTTAAAGGGTTAACCCTCTAACCCCCAAGAGTGACTAGTCTTACAGTATCACTGCTGAGTAAAAATTACCATCACCAGCATGAAATAAATGATCACCCACCCCCTGACAATTTTTCAGGTTTCTCTCACACTTTGCTTGTATAAATCAGTTGAGAACTTCTGGTAGAATTGAAGTACTGTATCAACTTAACTTAATCCTTTCCTATAAGGTTTACAATACAATGGTGTTTGTTTACTCTGACCTCTTTACCAGCAGCACAGAACACTAAACATAACTTCAATCCAACAAAATTGACTTATTATTGCCACACTCGGTATTCATTGTATACTTCAAAAAAATATATAAATATATATGAAGAAATTTAATAATTTTACGCTTTCCACAAACCTTTGGTGTCTTTTTGCGCACAAGATGGACAAAGTTAGTGGCATACTGGTACTTTTTCCAATATTTTGAGGATAAATTGGAGAACAAGTATGAACTCAATGATTCACACCCAACAGGAGGAGATGGAGGTTGTAAGGACAGTGGCACACCTGTCTTGCCATTGGGTTGATACACGCATATCTTCATCCCATTTTGGGATATTCGAAGCACCTCAAACACTCTGTCTTCCCCGTGTTTATGATGGAAGAACTCCAAACACACTTCACCATTGTCGGTGATGCTGACAACTGCATTTCCTTTCTTCTGTCTTATTGGCCTAAGCCTTTCTGAATTTAAAGGTTCTACAATGTCTCCCAAGGACTTAGCTCGTGAAATGTCAGATTTAGATCTGTGGTTTCTCTTCCGTTGTTCAGCAGATGTTTGGGTTGCAGACCTACCACTCGAGCAATCTTGGGAAAAGTCTAACCCAGAATCTTTTGTGACACTGTCACTTCCTTTTCGGCGATGTTGAAATAATTTGTCCTGTTGAGCAGTGTCCATGTGGGTTGAAGAACTGACATTGGAAGAGGACCTTTTTGATAAACTATGGCTGTTAACATCAGAGGTTTTAGACTGATGAGCCTTTTCGTGATGACACATGTCTTTTCCACTGCTGCTGAACCCACTGCTGCTTGTGTTTGTCCCATGAGCTGCATTTTTGAGGAAGTCGCCAAGGGTCTGTCCAAATGAACTGCTATATTTGCTGGCATTGTAGTTCCTACAGGAAGATTTAATTTGATGCATGGGCTTTGAAACTATCATTCAATCACTAACTGTTGTCTCACTTAAAAATGGAAGGTGCCGGATGTATCCATCGGCATTTCAATTTAAATGCTACCCAATGGCAGGCAAATCTCTGCAATCCAGCCATTAGCCACCATTTTGTGTATCAAGCAAACAATGATTAGACCAGTGCAAGGGGGAAAAATAGGTTGGGTAAGGAAGGGGCAGTGCTCATCGAGAGCTTTTGAAAAAAAGAAATGCTTCAACCAGTGTGTTTATCAATCTGTTTCTTACTCTTAAGCACAAACCTGAATTTTCCTTTAAGTCTATTTTCACCATTGCTAGTATTCAACTCCTCCTTTGATTTTTTTCTTCCGAATGTGGAAGCAGTGATATTAGACAGCCAAGAAGGAGAGGTGGCACTCTGTTTTTGGCCAATGGATGAGGCAGGAGCCACTTCTGTTCCACGTATTTGGTCTCTTGTAGAACTTGTCTTCAATTCACCGGTACTTTCACTATGACTAAAATATGTTACAATTACTATGAATACTTTTACTGTTATGCAATAACTTCTAATAGAAGTGGAATAAGTTGAGTACTTTTGAGGCATTGTATCAGCCTAATTACCAGACACTGGGTGAGTGTATATGATCAAAAAGGGAAGGCAACCAAAATCATTGAAGGAGCACATGCCTCACTGTTTTTTTGGTTGGCTTGCTTTTTTGAATCATCTCTATAACAGAGAACCTGGCACAGGCTACCAATGTACAGGTAAAGGGAAAGGGTCAGGGGGTTTGTGAACAGCATCCCTTCCCCCCTCCCCCCCCATAGGATGTAATATGAAGGGAGAGGGGGGGGGGAATTGCCAAACATATCAAACTAAGCTGTGGTTTGCTTGAAACTTGGGATCCTCGATAGTGAAGTGTCAGATCCAAAATTGATCCAAAATCTCCTACTAAATGAGCATTTCTCTGGGTGAAAAGATTGGTTTTAGTTGGAAGAAAGGCTAATAAAAAGTGAGTCACAAAAAGGTTAATTCCTCATCACATGCATTTCACTGAAAAAAAAATTCTGATAATATACTCTACCTCGCTCTCTGTCTAACAGGTGGAGATGGTGGGTGTCTGGCATGCCGAGGCCACATGTCAGACAGATGGTCCTCTGATCCCTCAGCTAAAGTGTCAGTACAAGGATTTCCCTTTATCCCTGTGGCTTTTGTAAGCTCACTGTTGTTGCGAATGGATTTTGAGGATCTACCTAATCCTGTGGATACTGTAGCCATGGTCCCTGTTCCACTGTCCATTGACTGTTCTGCAACATGCTACAGTGTATGTCATAGAGAGGAATAGATGAAAATGATTTTGAAATGTTGTAACTGATATGTACATAAGTGTGACTTATTGCATCAGTTGAATTTCATGAAAAAAATAAATTTTCATAGATTAAATTTTCATCGTTGAATTTGGTTTTGAGGAAAATTTTGATTCTGTGTGATGAAAACCTTTGCTATAATCCAGCAGGCTGGGAAAACTTTTGTAGACAATTCGCTACACATACATGCATTTTCCAAATGAATGCGATTTAACAACATGTATGGAAGACTGATTAAGTCTCCCTAGATTAATAATTCAATGGATTTTGAACTTTCTTCTTTAAAAAACCAATTTGAACATCAATCTCCCAGTTCTGACAGTTCTAGTGATGTCATCAATTTGGTTCTTATGAACCTAATGGTAAATACTGGAAAGTTAAAGTCATCAATTTGTTATAGAATAAACTTCAAACCTTTGGGGGACATAGCTGATTCTTGGAAGAAAATTTCAGCAAGCTTTCTTGTGTCATAAATGGATGATCTAAAATCCCTGCAGAAATAAAGGAAACAGTCTTCATGAAGCATCAGATTATTACCCTGAAGCTAGTATAATGTGGCTTAACTGGAAAATTTGAGGCATCAATTTTAAATCTGATGGATGGATTAATCTTAAAATGTACATATTAATTACTATTTTTTTTCTCTTAGTTGAAAAACTAGTAAGATCCTTTTTCATCTGTGTACATTAAGCTGAAATAATTTTCTGTCTCTTACCTGATAGTGTGATCCTGTCTCCTGGGTTCTAAAATACGAAGAAGAAGAGATTTTAAGAGGTAAAAACAAATTTTAAATTTAAAACAATATTTACAAAGCAGTACTTCGTTGATTAGTAAGATCAGTACCATCAAACAACTTTTTATGCACATTTAAGCTTGAATCCTTGCAAGATACATTTTCATTAAAAGCTTACCTTCTTGAGTAACTGAGTGATTAGATCTTTGGCCTCTGATGAGAGATCACTAAAAATAAAGGTGAGAGAAAGATCTGTGAGAGCACCACTAAATTAAAACATTTTTAATTATTACTAATTTAAGAGAGAGCCTGACAATCACCTATCGGCAATCACTCTCATGAAGGTGGACTATTTATCATGGACCACTGTCCTAAAAAATATTAACTAGGGGGAAAATTAGTAGTTGATCCAATGCCAAATTCTCCAAACATCATAAGAATTTTATGGCGAACAGAACTGAGAATTACTACAATAATTGAGATCTTGGGTGTGAAAGGGTTAATAGCTGTCTACTTTGGGATTTATAGCTGCTTGTTTCATGTTCCTCTAGCTCTCTTCTGTGTATAATCTCTGTTTACCACCACTGACTACTTTTATTAATAAGGTTGGTGAGAAACCTACTTCAGTTTTTCTTAAAAACCTCAGCTGTCATAGTTAATAATTATGACACATGTGTCTTCTGGTAAGGCTAATGCAGCATTACCACCCTTCACATGAAGATAAAGGCTGAAAATTAGTTACTGTGGCATGAAAAACAAACTTACCAGGGCAAGTCATAGTCAGCCAGGACTACTCTGTTCAGAGTGCTTTTTACAGCCTCAGTCTGAAACATTATAAACAAACCACAATTAACAATAAAAATACACAGTTCTCAGAATATATTGGGAGTTAAAGCAGGAGAACTTGTGATACACAATTGAGTCCTTGTACATAAATCATAGTACACACTGTAAGGTGCGGAACAGAATATCACAGCTGCAGTAGAATGCATCAAACCAACTCACATCAAATGGAGGACTTCCAACAATCAGAGTATAAAGCATACAACCCAGTGACCAGACATCAGACTCAAGACCATGAGGGCCTCTAGTTGCTATTTCACTATTAAAAAAAAAGATACAAAACAAGATATTTAAAACATGGCAATGTCTATTTTAATTTGCAAAATAACATTATCACATTTAGCTTTTAATAACCACATCAGTATTGCAAAGTGAGGAAAACAGTTCAGGGGCCAAAAAAAGAAAATGACATATTCACTTCTAAGATTTCATTTATTTAGTGATTCTCCTTACTCTCTGCCATACAAATCTTGTGATGTTAGCTCATTGGTATTGGATCAACTACATATGATTAAATCTCCTTATAGATATTTTTCTTTAATCTAATTACTAGTCTACTTGATATTGTATTGTTATTGATGGGATAATTTCTGTCGTGGTCAGTCATGCGATTAAGGACAATATACACAATGAATAACAAATTATACAGTGATTCTTACGGTGAAATGTAGTTTGGTGTTCCACACATAGTGTAGTGTTTTTCATTGGGCATTGTTAGTCTTGCTGCAAGGCCAAAGTCACCAATTTTCTGAGACAGGTAAAGAAGACAATTAAATCAATGCTGACATAAGTTTTTGTACAATCTATTTCAGATCTGGTCAAAGTTCTAGGTGCTCAAAAAGATGCAAGTTAGCTGCTCTGCTACCTGAAGAGCAGGTAACCTTGATTAAACTGTTCATATTTAAATATTTCTCTTATGCTTTATAATTGACTTCACTATGGAGATATAAAGTTTCTGCTGTTATTTCAACTATCATCAGCTAACTCACACCATATAATAAGATCTAATAACAAATACTCACTGCATCCATTTCCCTGGTCAGAAGAATATTTCCAAGTGAAAGATCCCGGTGAATAATGCCATGCGAGTGAAGATACAAAACTCCTTTGACCACTTGAGTCATTATGTGACGAGCTTTGAACAAATCAAGTCAAATATCAGCTTAATTTTATCCATTATCAAGTTTCTCTCATGTTATTCACATAATTTTTGTTACAAAGCAATTTCTACATCAAGTTTTTTTTTACAACCCCTGCAATTTTTGCTCACTTATAGACCTCAAATGACTACTTAATAAATTCTGTTGAAAATTCTCGCTGTTGACAATAATTATTCTCCATAATTGTTCTCTTAACATTTCCTTAGGTGATAACAAGGAGAATTTGTTTAACAATCAAGACCTTCTTTACAGTTGATGATTGCTTCCTTTCTTCCCATGACCTAAATGTGTGATTCAGGGGTGATATTGAAAGGAGAAAATAGAAACTAATCACTCTTAGGGGTTAAAGGGTTACCCTGTTCACACCCTTTCTCTCTTTTCTTTAATCTTTTAATTCTGCATAAATAGGTAGCTTGCTTTTTTTTAAATATATTTTTCTTGCAGTACTGTGTTAATCAAAAGAATAAGCAATGTATATTAAACTTTACCTTCATTTTGACCCACTGGTCTCCCTGTTTTCTTGAGATAGCGGTTGATTTCTCCATTGTGGCACATTTCCATGATTAAGTAGACATAATTTGCATCTTCAAAGTAGTTGTATAGCTGTCAACAATCACATTTAGTTATAATTCTTTAGATCACAATTATTAGTTTTGAAAGAATTGAAAAAGAATATTGCCTTTCAATTCCCAAAAATGGGAATTGCCATGAACTGAAAAATTCTTTTATTGAAAAAAAAAATACCCTCTTATCAGAGGAGATTCAAAATGCAATACAACTGTATCCTTAGTTTTTATTAAGATTATAAAAAATCATACAATGAATTTAGCAAAGATCTTTGTAAGGTTTGAAAATAACTATGAATCTCTGGAAATTTTTGAAAATCCTTCTACATTTTTTACATCTCATCAAAAATGCTGATCTTCAAAGAGCAATAAACAAGTTTGATCTACCTGTTAATTTACAATATAAATCTCTGAGAGGAAGAGTACAATAAGATAAAAAAAAAACCAGTTTGTACCTCAACTATGGAAGGATGTTTGAGTTGCCAATGAATTTCTACTTCATTTATAACTCGTGCAACCATGCCTGATGTTTTCATGAGTTTCTTGTCAATCTGCAATAAAACCCACATTAACATATTAAAAATAAAGACTTTGTCAGAAGTCCATCCTGTCAACACAACAAAAATAGCTAGTCTACCATCAAAACATTTCATTAATTCTAAGGAAATCCATCTAAAATGTCCCTTTGCAGGTATCATGTAAATTTCTTTACAACAATATAAATAATATTGAAATTTGCTGAAGTGGCATCACTTGATTTGAAAAAATTTTCCACACAAGAATAAAATGGAGCAGTTTCTCTGTTAAACAGAAATAATGAGCTCATTATCAGTAACCAAGTCAGACACAACTGTTGGCTGATGGGTGAAGTTGGCCTACAAAAGTCAGTTCTTGGGCTAAGTGATCCATCTAGTCAGAGTTTATCCTGATAATTCCTCTGCATGAAGCAACAAAAAGTATTATTAATTGCTTCCCCTAGCATTTCATCATGACAGAGGGCTGGTACCCATTTACAGGGGTGCAGAGTTAAGTATTTTGGTCAAACACAACACAATGATCTGGCAAGGTCTAGATCCCAGACCTCTTGACGACTTGGAGTCCAGCATATTAATCATTAGGCTACTGTATTTCTCACTAGCCTAATGCATTAACAAAAAGCTTTCAGTTGATGGCTAGCAATCTGCAGCCAAAATGTCAAAAATCAGACCATAAACGACCCACACCAGGCAGAGGAAATGTAATTAGCTGGCCAATATATAAGTGACAGCTAATTAGAAGAACTTAAAACCAAATTCCTAATATAATTTTGTCTGAAGCAAAGTTCATTCTAATACCATACCATCTTGATGGCAACCTCCTGTCCAGTGGCCAAGCAGAGAGCACGATAAACACAGGCAAATCCACCTTTGCCCAGTAGCTCCTGGACTTTGAAGTCCTATAAAAAATTAAGAACAACAAAATCAATAAGTAACAAGTCCATGTTTGAGATGTTTGAAAAAAAGCTTTAAAAAGCATGTCTGCTAAACAAAGTCAACATTTACAAATAACTTTACAGAAAAAAATATTTAAAACATAAATCTTGCCTCTTTTCCTTGTTGTTTAATTTGGAAATCTAATTTTTGTACAGCTACGAACAATTCAGGTAGATGAAACCCAAAAAAGGAAATTTTGTTAATTATGTGATTGATTCTGTAACAGGAAATTTACTTGAAAACATTGACTTGTTAGGCTCCACTCAATCTCCATTGCATGCAAACACAATGTGGTTTACACACTATAAAGCCTAACACAAGGAAGTAAATGGTTTGCAAAACTATTTCCAATTGTGAAGAAAACACACACAGCCACTGTGATCAACCCTGCCATTAGTCTTTAAAGAACAAGGACTGGGAAAGACCATAGTGATTTCGTGGGGTATAAATTCGTGGTCCTGCACTGCATTCTATTAATAGTTTCACCAGTTGATTTCTGTGAATATATCTACCTGTGATATAAAAGTTGTACCAATCTAATGTACCACACACCAAGCTAATACACAGACTTTAGAGTATATCAAAAATTAATCACTCACAGAAAAATATTTTACTCCTCATATTTCAGGATTATGTGATGTAAAGAAATATGACGTTGTTTTAAAAGACTTTTGCATAAGTATTGGGAGTAAGCAAGCCTATCAACTGATTAGCTTACAAAAATGTACATTTGAAATAAAACTTGTCGATCTCCAAAGATCTTCAAATCGTCCTTTCTTAATTTTGTTTTAATTCAACGTGCAATAAATAAGCTGCACTTAAAAGTGAATCCAGATTGATGCCATCATCAAATTATTGAGGGGATTACATCTCAAAGTACATCGCGTTTGCTAGATTCTGCATTCCGTCAGATCATGGACCATGATAATTCGCAACGAAATCAAAGACGAATGCAGAGAAAAACTTTTCAAAACAAAATCATACTAGTCACTTGATCTTTAAAGTCTTACCATCAAAGTGTAATAGAAAGGAAAGAAAGCCCGCTAAACCTATTTTTTGCTATTACTCGCCCATGAAAACAAATGATCAGCAAGTTAAGCTCTTTACTAGCATTTTCGAAATTTGTTCCCTGGCTTCTGAGGTCAAGGTGACGCGAAACTTCAAGATGATGCTTTCAAGTTATGGAACGCAAAATCTACCTCATTGATACTGTCGCAAATGGCTTAACATGATATCATGCTATCTCTGATTTGCAATTTGTATTACTAGTGAGAGCCACGTAGTAAATTTCTGAAATTTGAAACCGATAAGCCATTCTTACCTCAATCGATTCTCCCATGAAACGAGAACTCATTTTCGATCGCGTTGAATCTCTTTACTTCCTCCAAGAATCAAACAAAAGTACCACAGAAAGAAAGCTCTGGTACCACTTTCGGATAATTTTAGTTTCATTTCGTGGTTTCATATTCATAGAGATACTTTAAAGCCCGTTGTTTACGGCTTCCTTCAGAAATAAAGTCGTTTTCCGCCATTCAACGAATCACTTTGAACGGCCCGCGCAATCATAACATGAAACACCGAAGCGAGGCTCTAATGTCTCTAAAGGCCGTAATGGATTATGGTTATGGCCTGGAGCGAGATATTTTAAAATTGCGAAACTACACTATTACAGAAAAAAGAGTCTCGATCATCGATTTAAGTGCACCTTGTAGAGAAATTTGGGCATTGGCATAATAATTCACACACACCGTTCGCATTCAACTAAATAAAAAAACCTGGTAAAGAGCTAATTAATTACCCATCTTCGAATACCGAAACCTTACTCATGACCTAAGGGGAAAAAAAGAAAACGATTGCAAAATACAATCTACTCGTAATAAGACCTGCTGGTGTGGGGCTGGTGTTGCAAAAAGACTCGTCCCCGGGTGGGCTTGAACCACCAACCTTTCGGTTAACAGCCGAACGCGCTAACCGATTGCGCCACGGAGACATGCTACGCAAAAACACTGAAAATAAGAGATGTGTCTAGTTCTAGCAACCTAACCACGGTGTTTTCCGCGGTTATAAATATAGGTAATAAATAGGTAGCTTCCTTAATCTGAACAAGATTCATCTTCCTTAAGAAAAAAACAGTCACAACAATTACACTCGTTGTCTTAATGTTTTCCTTTAAGAACGGGGGGTTACAGCTCACTTTATAATGTTAGTATTATTAATATTGTTCACTTTATTTGTTAGTCGCGTCGAGACAGAAGTTATCAACATTTCCTGAAATTCCTTCTTTCAGTAGAAATGACCATCCAGTGAAGCAGGTGTCATCTACGAAATCTCTTGGTGTGCACATCGATCAAAACATGAACTGGGAATGTCATATACAGAACATTTGCAAAAAGATTGCTTCTGCATTGGGCGCAATCAAGCGAATACGACATCTTATATCCTTAATATATCAATTAATGTATATGATAGCCTAGTTCAGCCATATTTCAATTATTGTAGTGATGTCTGGGGCAACTGTACCAGCTTCTTCCCTTTCTTGGTCACCAGTCTGTCTCGGTCGTTGTTGCTCTTGTGAAGCTTGCTATTCACGATCGGGCAGTTCCTGTCCAACCATGTTAAAAGGGGCCAGTTCTTTTCAGCACGTTTTCATGTAACAGCTTCCGATAACGCCATTGCAAAATCGCCAACAAAATAACTTGCAAGAACCTGAGCAACACCGTAACACTGCAAATCCCAAAATCCTCCTAAATCTTCCCTGCGTAATTTATTGTTCCTACCTTGCCACCATGTCTCCCTCCCTCAAAGTTCTCATACCGATCGATGACGAAATATCCAAGCAGCGAATCGCGTTGCGACTTTGCGATGACGTGTCTCTTCTTCTAAAGATGGAGAGAACTTCCGTATAAAACTGAAGAAGTTGTACCTTAGATTCGACGACTTTGAAGACCTTTGAAGCTTACCTAGAAAATTCAACTAGGTTCTCAGAGGATCCACATCTTCCGTCGGTGTACAGAACCTCCAGGTGAACAATTGGTAGAAATAGCCGCCCAGTGGCCAACTCGATCGTGGGCCCGTTTCTAAATCTTCGACTCTCTCTCTCTCTCTCCGGGAAGAAATTGCTTAAATCGGATTTTTCGCTGCTGGTCAGGAAAAGGAAACAAGACACTCTTCCTGGTGAGTTTATGTTTTTGTGTGCGATGAGGCCCCTGTTAAAAAGGCTCTTAGTAAATGATTAGACCTGGTCTTGAGTCTTAACTTCGGGGGTTGAGGCAGAATCTTTCCTTTGAAATTTGTGATTCCTGCCTTTTTTAGCCCAATGATTTATGATTTATAAAATTTTTCGATGTTCGTTATTTATTTTCAACCATATCCTAAATTCATGATTCCATCTAATCTAACTGCTATGATTTGTGATTCATGGTTCTGGTTTCACCCCAAATTGGCTGTAAGCAGATGAGAATCGCCGGTCGTCTTTGAACTTTGATCATTCGGTGATGCACGCCAAATAGAGGAACATTTTAATGCATTAATTCCATCTACTGCGGTGTAGACTTGACTTCTTTTAACATGCAACCGTTGGATAAGTAAAACTTCAGTTGTGTCAATCATAATCACGGGTCGAGATCGCTGAGATCGTTGTGAGCGACCAACGCCTAGCAAGCTAAAATCATGCCGGCTAACGAAAAGCGATCTCGTGACTACCATGCTCCCTCGAAGCAGAAAAAATGATCGAATAGGACAGTAAAAGGGCGAAAGTTATTTTAGCGCGCCGTTTATAAAATTGATTCTTTTATCAGTTAATATATATCTTTTCCTTTTTGCTTTGAAAAGCTGACCGTTTGAGAGCGCTTTGATTTCCTGAAATAAATCAGACAAAAACTGACTAAGTAATGTTTACATTTGACCGAGTACATAGTGCAAATAAATGACTCCGTAATGTCTACAAAAGACTAGAAAAAATTATTATTTAAGGATTTATGATCGCTTGCGAAGTGTTAAATTGGCTTTGATTGTTTGCATTTTAGTATTACACGCAGACTACTTGTCATTTAACTGGTAAATAGATTCTTAGAGGAATCGAAAGCAAAACGGAGTCAAAGGGTCAGATTTCTGGAATAAAAGAGATCTGTGTGATTCTCATGACATACATCTCTTAAGCTCGTTGGCCTCTTCTGAGTTATGAAAGGCGTCGAAGAACTTAATAGGAACTATATGTTAAACCAACAAATAATCTCCTACATCAAATATACACGAGACATTGATTTTGATTAGCCTAATAAATTTAAACGATTCCCCAGTGGAACTTATTTTGAAACATTGAAATTCATTTTCAACTTCAAATCTTATTTGAGTAGTAAGATCAGGTTTAATGTACGGGCTAAGCCGCTAATACCCCTAAGGGCTATGCAAGGCGGCTTAGTTTACAATGTTGTATGAATATATTACATTTATTCGTGTGATTCCTGCCGTTCTTTTTCTTCTCGTGATGCATTATTTGTATTTGTACGGTTTGTTTTTTTGATTTTGATAACTCACCCATTGATTTTCGCACGATTCAATCGGCTACCTCACATCACGTGGTGCAAAATCACCATACAGTTCTCACACAATAACCCCCGTCTACGTCGATATTTGACCGAAGATTATTTCAGTCGAAAAGAAACAAAGCAAGCGGGAAAAAGCCAGCTTAAGAGTTCAACTTTTTCATCTTTTTCATTTTACAAGGATGAAAAAAGAAACCCATTATGTAGAGTCCAGTGACAGTGACATTAAAAGCTGATCTGAAATGCTACACCGGAAAGTAATTAAAAAGTCAACATAACTTGCTGTCAACGCGCGTTAGGAAAATAATGGGAGGGTTATAAAATAAATAAACTCTGTTCTGGCTTACTAGTATGTCGGCTGATAATGACCTTAGCTGAGAGATTGTCCTCAGAATTTCACATTTGCACTCGAAGCTTCGCTTGTCGGTCAAATATTTCTTTTTCAGATAATCCCTCAGTTGCAGGCAAAATCAGCCGACATACCAGCCACCTGAAAGGGTTTATTTATTTAATTATTGTAGGAAGAAAAGCCCTTACCAAGATTTTAATACTTTCAACGCGAAATTATGTTACCTTCGTCATAGGATTCATATCAGTTTCTCTCTAACTGGTACTGGTACAGCCTCAATGGCTTCCTCAACTGGTGCCACTTCCTTAGAGCAACGACGCTGGATAGTGGTGGGCATTGCCCTTCAAAATGTTCTTACCCCATGTCTCAGAGTTAAGATTCAGAACGAGATGAAGCCACTTTACCAGCGTCTGGTAGCAACTGTTGGAATAGACAAACAGACCTATCCAACTCACCAAAAAACCATTCCTCCGAGCACGCTGAAGTTGAACTACGAGAGTATCAACAATAACGCCGCCCTGCATAAGAAGCCGCGTTACTATGACTACCGTGTAAAGGATGAGGTTTCTCTGGCAAAATTGTTTATGAAACCTTTCATGGCGCATTTCAATGCATTTGATACATCCTTTGACGCTTCTGCAGCTCTTGCCGTTCTTTGTGGCGCAATACCATTCGCTTTGGTGCGACCATTTGCTAAAGACGTACGTTCAAAGGTGCGCAATGAGTGGGCTCATTGTAACTTCTCCATTTGGACAGATGTCCAATACAATGATTGCTTCGATCTCATGGAGACCCTGGTCAAAAACCTTACCCTGCCTCCAGCTGATGAACTGAGTATCATGAACGAGCTCCAGCTATGGAGAAAAGGAGGTATGATTACAGCAAACAACTAAGCCACTTTTTATTATCCTGGCGATTCAAGAAAATTTAATTTATCATTTTTTTTTATACAGGTTCCAGTTATTAGGTTCGAGAATAGGTGCAACTGTAAATCCTTATGCCAACGAGAAAAATATTTAATAGGCCCACAACTAGTGCTGCACTTAGACCTCATTCAAATCCGCATTGATGCTTACTTTATCCCAGTGATTCGAATGAGCGCTCATTTACGTGTTTACCACTCTTTTCAGTCAAAACTATTTCTACAACTAAAGGTTAAAGTTTTCCAATTTTTACCCCCAATGGTTTGCCCTATTCAGACCCTCGTTTAATGTTGGGTTAGAGGAGGGATAGGTGATCGGTTTCTTAGATACTGGCATTGATCCCTTCCACTTGGTTTTTGTCAACTTTGTACAGGACTAGACATATGCCTTGGTAAACCACTTGACGACACTCTTCTTCGTTTTATCCACAATGATGTCCAAAAACTTATCGACTCGTTACATCACAACGAAAAAGAACAGGATAAAAACATGAAAAGCGTCTGTTCTACTCTTGCCCTGATTAAGTCCGAGTTTGAAAGAACTATTTTTAGCCTCGAAGAGAAACAATCAAACCTGCAAAGCGTTTGTGAAGATATGAAGAAAAACCAAGATATGATTACAAGACAAATGGAAAAGAAGAACGAGGAACAAATGAACCTTTTGAAAAGCTCTGAGACTAACTGGAAGATGCGGCAAGAACAATTGGAGCTCCGCTGTAACTCTCTAGAAGTTTATGGATCGGCCATGCAGAGAGATCTGGCTATACTGAAGGAAAAACTTGAACGTTTATCCTTTTCAGAGGAATCTAAGGAGATTGTATTTGACGCGCCAGAACAAAGCAAATGGTTTACAGGACGAGAAAAGGAACTATCTTTTCTGGATAAGTGCTTACAATTCGAAAAAAGCGGTGGGTTAAACATGGCAGCCATTTGTGGTCTTGGAGGATGCGGGAAGACCACGTTAGCATCTCACTTTGCATGGAAACGTAAAGCGGAATACGAAGGAGGTGTGTTTTGGATCTCCATGGAAGATGACCGTAGGTTTGAAAACTCTCTGAACGACCTGGCTTTGCGTTTGGGAGTGCTCGCGGATTCATTTGACCTCACGTTGTCAAAAGTGCTCAATTACCTTTCGAAAAGCAAAAAGGCGTGGTTGATGGTTCTTGACGATGTAGACCAGCTTAACCTCTCCGACCAAATGCGAAAATTTTTTTGTGGAGGATGGAGAAGGCAAGCTATTGGTCATCTCTTGCTCACAACGAGACGAGAATCGAGAGAAGTGTATGATTCCTTTGATGTAAATCCCTCCAATTGTGTGGAGTTGTTCTCATTTTCAGAAGACGAAGCCGTAGGTTTTCTAGTTTCTCGAAGCTGCCTCCCTGATCCCACAGGACAAGAGGAAATTTTGAAAGAACTTGTTCGTGAGCTCGGTGGTCTTCCCCTTGCCTTAGAACAAGCAGGTGCTCACATCAAAGCCCTTCAATGTCCCATAAGTAAGTACCTTGAAGAGTACAAAATCCAGCGATTAAAGTTGCTGAGCCAGCATCCAGCAAAACCATCGTCGGAGTACGAATCTAAAAGTCGGCTGGCAGTACATACCACGTGGCTTATTAACTTCGAATACGTCAAAAAGTCAGCATATGGGGAAGCAGCATCAAGGTTTGTAAACGTTTGCGCCTTTCTGGGACCTCATGAAATTCAAGACGAGTTGATCGACGGCAAAGTGCTTTCCTCTGACGATAAGGTGCCAGAAAGCTCCTGTGGTCCTTTGATAAGACATCACATCCTAGAAATCATCACAAAGTTTTCGCTATTCCAAAGAATATCCTCCACATCACTTGGCCTGCATCGTCTGGTTCAGGAAGTTATTCGAACCAGAATGACCATTGAGGAAACGGCTTCTTCAATACTGAGAGCGGTTCGACTTCTTTACAAATGCTTTCGCCGTTTCCCGTCACCGGACCAGATTATTTCAAATTTAACTGGAAATGTAACAGAACAAGCATCTGCTTCTGTGACTGATCCTTCCTTGTTCTATGAATGGTCAAAGTTAACCATTCATGCTTCCGAGCTGCAAGAGCATTTGAGATGCCTCCTCGATCAAGACGACATCGCGAAGGAAGTAAAAACAGCCGTTTTGAACATTGAGACGTCCCGGGTCATTTATGAAAACGCCCTGAAGCTTAGCGTGCACGGTCATCAAGAGAAAGCCAAAGAAACCGAAAGATTTGCATTTCAAATTTTGGATTTTGATGTAGGTGTGAGCAAGGTATTTTCTAAAGAAGAACTGGGAAAGCTATTCCCCCATACTCTTCCGCTTTCTCAACTGTTTCAAAAAATCATCTTTTACTCGTCACGACCTCCTGTAGAGAATCAAAGAACGCCTACGTTGGAAATCCAAACAAGTGCTGACACAGATCAAACCCGTATGCAAGGAAACACGTTCTTCAAAAGTGGGCTCTATGAAGAGGCCATCAATTCTTACACTGAAGGAATCGAAGCAATGCAAGGAGAAACCAACCGTGAACCATGCTTATTTAACAACAGAGCAACTGCCTATCTTAAATTGGGAAAGTTTGAAGAATGTATTAAAGATTCAGAGGAGTATATCAGAGCTATGCCCAACTGCTGGAAGGGATACTCTAGGAAAGCTTTGGCACTAAATGGTCTTGGGCAAAGACTTTCTGCCTTGTGCTTCGCCGCGATCGCGTATCACCATGATGGTGAATGCTGTCGTCGTTACGAGGCTTTCAAATCTGCTTTCGGAGATCTGGATGGAAAGTGGAAGATTTGTGAATCGTCGGAGGCCCTTCGCAAGGATGTAATGTACAGCAACAACAGCAAGTCACAACCAAAAGTGGTTCTTCTTCCAAACGGAGAATATTGGCTAGATGACTCTACAAAACGCCATAACGCTGACACTGCCTTTCTAGCGTCCATCGGTAACACAGTGGTAGCTGCTCTGGGCAACGAAGCTAAGGTCACCATTTACTCTGGGAAGATTAGCCTGGAAGAAGACTGCTTTTTTCGAAATATTACTTTCTCAACAGAATATACATTGGTTGCAAGCAATGGTAATGTCAAGTTCGAGAACTGTTTCTTTTCGAGGAATGGCTCAGCCGAACCTTTAGTCCTTGTCAGTGGAACGGCAAGTTTTCTTCGATGCACAATCAAGGGTAACGGAGGCTGTGGAATAGTAGTACAAGGCCCAAATGCTTCAGCCACGATGGTAGAAAGTCATGTGACTGGAAATGGCGCGATGGGATGCTATGCATCAGGAGTTAGAGTGTTCAACAAGGGGCGTGTTGCAATTCACAAATGCCACATCAATGGAAATACAAGAGGAATCTGGGTCGATGAGGAACAAGCGGGTGTCTTAGCAAAGGAAGCCATAATAACCGACTCCGAGATTTACGACAATAAATACGAGGGAATACTCGTGGCAGGACTTCCTCCTCAATCTATTGTTTCCCTCCCGGTGGAAATTCGTGGAAACAAGATATTTCATAATGGCACCTTTGGTGTCCGTGTATTCTTAAACCATAATGACGTCACTTTGGAGAATAACGTGATTTTTGAGAACTTTTATTGGGGAGTTTGCATCCACAGCAATTCGGGCGGTCTGTACAAGGGAAACGAGATCTGTAACAACAAAATGGGTGGCATAATGGCTGGATTGCAAAGTCCAGGGAAAATCCCATGTGTGATAGAAAACAACCATATACACGACAACTGTGGTCCTGGTTTTCATGAGGGACTTAACACCTATGAATTATATTCTTTTCCGTTGAGACTGCAAACCTTTCTTATGATGAAAATGCAAAAAAACATGTTTACGGGGCAGCATCCACTTGACTTGAAAACCGTTGCTCCTGACTTGGTTGCCCCAGAGTTTAAGCCAAGCAATCGGTGTTCCGGAAACAATCACGGCTCAACAAATTTAACGTCACACAAATTGAGAATATATTGTGCTTTTTGCCTTCGAAAAGATGATGGATTAAAGTCTTGCAAGAGGTGCATGAGTGCAAAGTACTGCGGAAAGGAATGTCAACTGAAACACTGGAGAAGGCACAAATACATCTGCAAGGCCACGACTGAAAGACACTCCGTAGAAATTTCCTTGCAAGTTTCTCACCCTTACAACAAGTTCTCAATGTCTCTTAATCGAACCTATCCAGGTATGAAACCTTCTGGCCCTGACTACGCACCGTCTCCACCAAAAGACGGTAGTCGTTTCATTGTTAAGCTACAAACATACGAATCTCCAGCTAACCAGGGAATAAGTAGCATCGAAACAAGAGGTTTTATAAGTGATGAGCAGGATCCTCACAAAGCTTCAATTCGTATGTATGATCGTAGCCGCCGCCTTGATTTCACTTTTAATGGTAAACCTCAGCTTTATCACTTGATTATGGAGTGCGGAATGATGGGATTTAAGATAAACTGCACCAAGAAACTCTTCTGTTGGGCCGCATTCAAAGATTGCAAGACAGTTCGAATATTTACTCACGAATTCCCTCCAGCACAACGGTGGTGAACCTATTGGAAAGCTGTTCTACATTTACCATATTTAACTTAAGTGCTTGGATTCATCCACGGGAACGTTTTTACAGTACTTAAGCTAGATTTCTTTGTCTGCTGTAAACTTTTGGATTCTCAAGTGACTGATAAACTGTCTATTTTTTTGGAAATGGAAACATCGCCACCTTTCTTGGCAAGCCTGTTGTGACTGAGAAGTGGATGGAGAAAACTAGCCAATGTATTTAGCTCATATCGATGAGCATGTCCTGATTTTCCCAAATATCTTCACCTCGCCTGTTGATATTATAGAGACGTCGTTAAATAGTGCGGTATTGACTTTCGAAATAGTAATATCGGGTTTCTCTGTGTATTGACCGGAGAAACAGTCATTAGACGCATTGGAAAGACGTAAACTTTTCTACAAGAAGGGATTTGTAACGGAATGATTTCAATGGTATACACTTTCAAGTGCGAACACAAAAAGCGAATTCTTTCATTGGTTGCGTATACAAGGCTCCAAACGAATCCCTTGAGGTTCGCGACCAGGCCAGGAACAATTACCGGAGTAGGTCTCAAGACTGCGTTTTAATAATCCCACCTCAAAACGGTAAGAGACTGTTGGAGTTCACCGTGATCCATGACCTCAAACAATATGTGGAACATTCTACTCGAGTAAAATCGACAATAAGTATCGTTATTGATGTGCTAATCACCTGTGTTTAAGAAATCAAGTTTCATCAAGACAGCTGTAACCTTTAGCCAAACGACCATTATCAGAACTAAGATGTTTTGTACGCCAGCGACCTGCCGAACCAAGCATCGAGCCGATCACAACAACGGGCTCCTCGAGTAAAAACATTGTAAAGATCTTCATAGCCGATCTTGAGGAAGTCGCAACTCTCAATCGCTAGTGAAATGGTTATCAACAGAGCTCACCCTTGACCTGTCATTTTTGTTTTCAAACTGATTCGAACAGGTGACTAAGAACACACACTGGCGATAAAATCCAGACTTTCTTCGAACTGGAATGAAAATAAACGCCTTCATAACAAGGCTACAGCATCAAATAGAAACGCTGTAAAGAACTAATTCGAAACAAGCTGGCCGAAAGGCCTCCAGGACAATATTCCTCGAGTCTTTCCGCTGTAGAACAACGTTGTTGCGATTTATAGAGGGCGGAAAGGAATTATCTGATAAGTTTGACATTGTTGATCTGCACTGAGTTAAATTTGCTTATGTTTTTTCTTTTACCGCTTCCTCCCTGCAAGCAAGTCAGGAATTAGGCCTCGACCTATTCGACCAACAATAGATAAGCGAAAGACAAAGGAAGTAAATAAATCAATGGCTCTTATCGAAGTTAAGTACGTCACTAAAACAATTCAGCGGTCTCTCGATTAGCTTACACAAAAAAGAGGCTATCGGGCCAGCTGTAAAGAATGAGCGAAGGATATGTTATGGAGAGCGTACTTTTTTCCGTGAGCTAGGCTCTTTGGTTTTTCAACAGTAAAAACAAACTTTGAAGGCACAGATTCTAGCTTCAAGTAAGTTCTTTGTCCTCTCAATGGTTTTATGAAACAGTCAGCATTAAAATTCTGACTACAAACATAAGAATGCTCGGATAATTAAGTGTTCTATCGGCGTAGTTTAACGAGCCGTTTTTTCAATAACTTCTTGTTCAACAGCGGGAGTGAAGCCGTGACAAGTTCTTGTATTCCGGTTTGGAACTTCTATTTTTGCATCCAAATGCTATGCAGTGCTTAACCATACTTTAAGGCACTCAAAAGACGTAAAAATTGTCAGTAAATACGAGGCAGTTCAATACCAGCAACAGAACAGATCGCTGAGCTTGGCCCGATAGCCATGTGTTGGTGTACGCCAATCGAGAGACCGCTGATTTCGCGGACTCAACTCCCGATAAGAGCCATCCTGCTAAATACAACCAAACAAAATTCTGTTCAGAGACATCCAAGTCAGCCACTCTGCTGATTTGGATGTCTGTGTCAGGTTCAGAGCTGTGGAATGTTTTTTTTCTGTTTGGCTGAGGCAAGTGCAAAGTTGCCCCTCCTTTAAACTAAGATGCAATACTTTCAGGACAGAACACCGTTTAGAATTCCTGTTATACTTCTCTTGAACTTGTGAATAGCATAGTTTTAACTGAAATTTTTCGATTACATTGATTAAAAACTAGTTTGAAAAAAATTATTGTTTGCAGCCGGTGCGGAACTGGTGCCTGAAATCATTTTCGTTGATTAATATTATAGTAGCTCCATAATCTTTTTCTTTGCGTCGAAATTGCTCTTCATTCATCTAGAACTATTGATTTACGAACCCAAGTCTTTTCAAGCAAGTGTTTCGATGAAATAATATGTGCAGAAATTTCTGCTCAATATTAGAAAAAAATGGATCATTCTTGAGGCGCTAACAAGTGATGTGAATTTGTTTACTTGTGAAAAAGTTCCTATACAAACTTTAAAGTTGAAAATGTGTATCAATTTGTTGCTAAAGGAAAGTAAAAGGCCCACACTGATACACTACAACGTTTACTAATTAATGGAAGACCTATCATGAATGAATATATTTGATGAGGTGCGTTTTTTCTTATTTTGACAAAGTGAAAATGGAAGGCAATAAATCAGCATATTTTACAAACAAGATCGTCAAAGTAACGATAAAAAGAATTAAAATTACGCCCCTCTTAGTCTGGTCGTATCAAAAAGAAAAATACGACAAACTTAATCAACAATCAACATCACAATCGTGTTTATTGGTACAAAAAACAAATACACTCAATTTTCTAACCAGCTTAATTTAAAATATAGTGGTGTATTTCAAATAACACGGAAAGCTACATACAGTCAAATTGAAGGAGCCTGGGCCAATATTTTCACACACAAGCTGTGTGTGAATATTTCACGGTGCATAAATCACATTTAACAGTACAGCACCACACGAACTTACATTTACATTTGACCTGCTTCTGATGTTCTACCGTACGATTGCGCAGATTACAAGAGTTACACAAAGATCTGCTTTTTTCCACGGATACAATGTCACTCTCCCATGTCCTTCCTCGCATTCCAGGGGAGCCTGCGGTCATGTTTCGTACACAGTAGTTTGGGGAAGAGTCCAGATAAACCAGTTTCTTCTCTTTCTTGGTCACCAGTCTGTCTAGGTCGTTGTGGCGCTTGTGAAGCTTGCTATTCACGAATGCCACTCGAACAGCTGAGTGGTAGTTCCTTTTTAGTTCTTGTCCAACCACGTTAAAAGGGGCAAGCTCTTTCCAACACGTTTTCATGTTACAGCTTCCGGTAACGCCATGGCATCTACATACTTTTCTGAACTTTGCGCGGACAACCTGGTTTGAGCAACAAAGAAAAATTAGAAAAATAAGATGTTTTTCTCGATTTCATTCATGAGTAGATCAATATTTGAACAGACTGAAGACAGTTAATCAAACCAACCTTTCTTCCTACATGATTATTGTGCAGGTTGAACGCTGTACGAGCGTCGTTTCCTTTCTCCAGTTTGTCAATAAACCGTATCGTCTCCTTCTCTCCGTACTTGATGTCATCACTGCATCCTCCCCACTGCCAGTCGCTCTTTCCTTTTTGTTGTTCCCTTGTCTTACCGCACCTACATCCGGGTATTCTGTTCTGTCTGCACTGCATAGTTAGTTCGTGAGTTATAGCGGCTGCGCTGATGGCGTGAAGGAAAGCTGTTTCTCGAGTTGCTGCAATGAAAAATGAAACAGATTGAGGATCAGTAAGGAGATCCAAAGCTATTTCTTTACAACAAAGGTAACAAAGGCGCAATCAACGATGTATTTATGGGGTCATGTTTTAATCCTCGTGCGTGTGCTCTAGTAATGACTTGACTGAACTAGACTGAAACAGCTATAACCATCGAGCTCTTAAACATTCCCATTGGCAATTTTCACTGAATACATGAATTATACACAAAAAGTGGTCCATAGGGTATTCCGGCTATTACTTGCTCGCATTTCAGTTCAGCGATTCCAATGAGAAAAAAATAGTGTTTCGTGTAAGAAATTGGTTTTCAATGACCAAGCTTAAGTTAAAGATCGCTGACAATTGATGTTAACAAATTTATTGTTGTAACACTACCTTGGTACATCGTTGCGAAACATTTAAACCGGATGGCTTCACCTCAAGGAACATGTGCGACAGAAATACATGATGCGCATTGCAGTAAAAGAATGAGAAAAAAAAGGTTTAACTCTACTTACCATGTGGCAAACTTCTTTTAAAAAAGATAGGTAACTTTTGAAACACATGCTGGTCGTGCAATGAACAATTCCAAATCTCGGCCTTAAATAACTTTTGACACTCCGCCAGTCCACGATGACCTCCCTCTTTCACAATATTCCATAGCAGGTTGTAAATGCCAGACCTGCAACGTAGCAAAACCGCTGTTAACCCTTTGGTTTGAATCATGAGCCGTTGTATTTTTTTTTTTATGATAACAATCGGCCATAAAGTTTTCTAGGTTGTAGAGAGAGTAACCTCTTCATCCACACGACCTGTTACTGATAAAAAAGTGTGCAGTCTGTGTTGAATAAGGAAGCATTTTCGCTTTTTAGAGGCAGATTGTTTTTTTTTTTAATTTCTCGCTAGTTATATTCAAACTATTAGTGCAGTAAGTTTCGCGTGCTATAATCATGCACGCGCGTGGAAATCGAAGCAAAGATAGGTGTACTTTGCTCGGATGTTATCGTATGTTTGAAAAATGAAACTTACTTTTTAGCTTTGCTGTATCCTTGATGAGAATGAGGAAACGTTAATAGGGCCACTAACATCACAAGACAGAGCTTCATCATGAACGTTCACTAAATGTTCTCTTGTTGCGAGCTCTACTCATAATAAAATGGTTTTCATGGAAGCCTTTATATACTAGTGAAACGTAGTAAGATTATTCATGGACATGCTAATTAATTATCCTCGCGAGACTATGTGTGATTTTTTTCCAGTTTTATTACAGAGGTGAGATTTTTTCGGATAATAACTTGGAAAACAAATGGTGTGCAACTTAATATAAATTTGACAAAGAAAAGTTTGTTTATGAGTTTTCTAAAATGTTTCTTTTTTCATTCCTTTCCGAGCGTAATCGTCTTTTTAAAGATAAATGAGCGGTGCCCGATAATTTATCACTATCCTCAGACGTGAAATTCTCGTGCGCGCGCATTTTCCAGGTAAAAATGGGCGGTTATTTTTATATGCACTTTCAACTAGACACTTGCAGAGAGGTTAACAAATGAAACCTGTACTTTTGTGCCTTACACGAGCCTAGGAAGCTCTAGACAAGCAAACAGGTGCGATACCTCTTCGTAAGCATCGTGTTAAAAACGAAGTGCAACACCAAAAAAAAAAAAACCTCAACGTTCTCTTTTTGTGGTGTGCTTGTTATATTAAGGTGTTAGCCTTAACCGTTATCAATGACTGTGAATATGTGTAAATCATATATGTAAACTGCGGTTTAAGAAATGAATATAAAAGCGATCTTCACAACAGCGAACACTTCTTACGAGCACTGCATCAGTATAGTAGAGGTCATGCGTTCAAATCCCGTACAGACCCGAAATTTTTTTCAGGTCTTATTTTTAGTACTGCGAAAAAGTGAAAGCTTAAGTTAATTTAGTTTGTAGCTTTACAATCGAAATTCAAGCAGATTTATTGTAAAACGAGTAACATGGGAGTTGTGCAACGTCAAATTTGCTTGTAAATAGCTGATGTTCTAAATCACTCTGAACAAGAGCTAACGCCCGAAACAACCGTTGTAACACCACAATTTGTTTAGAACATACACCCATGAACCACTTGTAGCTAATGTTTTGTTGAGTATTCGGGTTTATTAAAGTTCCTAAAGCAGGCGTCTGAAATGAAAGTAGTGTAATGTTAGCCACGTTTGGAGAATGTTTGTTTTTCTTTAGATCTCATTTTCATAATAAGCAAATAATAATGCAATAGTGAAAAAGTCTTTTGTTTTTGACTTTATTATTAGGAAAATCACACCTCTAAAAGTCAAGCGTGAATATCACACCTAGTCAAGCGTGGATGTAGTTCAATTCAAGTTGTTATTTGCGTGTGAATGAGTGTTCTTTTGTTTTTCCTAAGAACGTTTTTTCTCTTCATGTTTTCTTTAGTTTTCGAACATTGTTTCCGAATCCTACGTTTGCGATTTCCCTTGTCGTTTGCCCCCTAAATAAACTCCACGGATGTCTTTATGAGATGAGCTTTGTTCTCGCTCAACTAATTTATTTGTGCGAAGAAACTGTTTAAGTGAGCAAAGGGGTAAGTTTCTAAAGAAACTGTGGTGCTGCGTCGGTGGGAGAGTATAGCAGGTAATTTAGCGTTAACAACTGGGTTGAAAACGTAAATTAGCCACCGTAAAGAGTAAAAAAGCTAAAGCTAGCTTTTTTACTCTAGCTAAAGCTAGCTTTTTTACTCTTTACGGTGGCTAATTTACGTTTTCAACCCAGTTGTTAACACTAAATTACCTGTTTAAGTGAGCGATTGTTTGGTTGGAACGGAGAGTTGAGAAAAGCATGTGAGCTGCCGTCGAGGATTAAATGGTCATTACTGTAAGGCCCATATCAAACAAACCGCTAATTTGAAAGGAACAGGTCTTCTTAGTTTCTTCATGAAATATGACCTCAACAAGTGAAGCTTACCCTCGCTCACCTTTCCCCAGACTTTTTCGCAAACAAAGAGGTGTGGTTCAACGCTTAGGGACTAGGCCTTTCCAGTTGAAAGGCACCGTACCGCACCTGTATTGGTCCATGCCTAGCAGAAATTTCTGCGCAAAATTCAGCTGAATTCATAGGATTGTTCTACCATTGACTTTTGCATAAGCTAATTGCAGATTAGAGCAATGAGCAACGAGCAAATTCAGTATAATTTTTATCCCTAACATAACACCAGAGCAACACTGACAGCAACGGTTGGATTTTTTATTACTTCAATGATTACGATATCTCTTACATAAACTGTTAACTTCATAGCAAGAGTAACTCTTCATGTAGGAGGAATCTTTTATGAGCCTCACTACAGAAGTTTCCGTTAAGGAAAATCGAGTGTCGACTAAAACCAAGGTTTGCTTTCAGTTGCAGACCGGGATTATACTGGGTTTGCTGCACGTAGGTCTGTGATTGGCTACGATAACTCGTGCCACCCTCTCCACCAATCAAACGCGAAACTAAAAACAATTAACGAGAAAAAAAATATAACAGGAAAGAAATGCAACAGCGCACCGCTGAGGGAACACATCCCCGAAATGCACCAATCACAGCTGCTGAATAGCAGCCAAGAACAACGGAACAGAATGCTTTCTGAAAGCAGGTTTGGATTTTACGACACTCAATTAAATTGCACTCTTCGACAAAGAATTATTTGTTTCCAAACAGGTTGTTACCAGCAGAAATGCTATCGTGAAAAAAAAAAAAGGTTCTGCTTCCCTATACAAGATACATATAACAATGAAGAGCGAGTCAGTAAGCGAGATTTCCTAAAGTAATCATATCCAAAAAACATTTCTGACAACCCGTACAATCTTCAACTACAGACCAATCTAAATCTTTCAACACTTAAAGGCAAAATTCGTAGAAAATTGCGGAAAAATAAGCCATAAACCATCAAATATGATACATGAACTTAAAACTTTATAAATATAAATTAATAGACTTCTCTGTAATTTTCTAGGCATATTGTTCAGTTCAACCTCAAATCTCGCTGAAAAATGAGGAAACAAACGATTAAGTTATTTCATAACTTTATACTATCAATTTCATTTACTAAATTGATGGTATTCGCCTCTTCAAATGCTGAAAATGAGCAAACGCTTAGAATGAGGAAACTGAAACAATAAAATTAGATTTCTATCAATTTTTTAAAACTAAATTCTTAGTATTCGCCTCCTCAAATTTTTGCTTAAAGAATTTACCAATACATAATTAACAATAGATCTTTTGAACATTTACAATAATCAAATGCAATAAATTCTCTTTTGCTTTTTTTAAATTAGCAAATAACAGTGAATCTCAGAGTATATTTATAAATAAAAGTTCTCACGATTAAGGGCCTCTCTGAAAACAAATTTGTTTGCTTTACACTTACACTTACCCCCCCCCCCCCCATTCCCACTCCACAAACCTTATGGTTACCAATGACAACCAACTACAAGGCACCTTCTACAACAAGGAATGTTCCCAACCCAAATGATATTTCAATACTCTCAGTTGTAGCTTGTAGAATATGAAATTATAAAAATTGATTGAACAATTTGGAACAATTATCAGCAATTAGTCAAAGTTTCACAATTCTAACACAAGAATGCTGTCGGGTTTTTTAAGTATTTAGCTGAAATAGAAAATGGGAAATTTGACATATATACAAGTGTTGGTTAGAATTGTTAGCTTAGCTGCATCCGCAGCTGAAAAAGAGACACTAACGACGAAAAAAAAGAATAGAAAATTGAATAATAAAGAAAGTACGAAAGAAACAGTCAAACAAAACCAGACCAGCCAAACAAGCCAAGCATAGGACTCCTTCTCTCTGGAGGAAACAGCCACTTAAAATCAGACTAGGCAAACGCAATTCTGTTTTGTACATGTCTGCTTCAAATCTTTGCAAGGATTATGTTAAAAGAATTCTTGAACTAGATAAATAAGATCCTTTCTTGAATAAAGTTCTTTAAAATCTTGCAACCTTTACGTTTTGATAGTTACCTTCTATTTTCTGTTTGTTTGTATAAATGATACCTTTTTTCCTTTTTTTTTCAAGGAAGTCAGATGAAGCCATATTGATTAATTTTCTCACGGTATTAAATCACTGAGGAGTTCTAGGCAAAATAATTTAAGCATGGTGCATACAGATGAAAAAAAAAAGAAAAAGAAAAAGAAAAAAAAAATGGATCAGCTTTGACACTCTTCCCTTCCTGACTGCTCTAGACTCTTGGAAGGTGGAGACTAGTGAGAAAGAAAAGAAGAAAGAAAGGGAACAAAATGGACAAGAAGAATCCCCAATTTTCTGAGATGGAGCAAGTCCCCTCACATCTTTTGTCTTGTTCACCCCTGCTTTTTTTCTTTGTCTCCACAGCCTGATTGCCTGGAACAGACTTACTTCTTTCATGTTACCCTTTATTACTCTGAGGATCTGATTGTTATCACTCCCCTCTAGCTGATACAAATTTCAATGAAAAATTAATTACAAGAATTTGGTGTTACTGGTTGGTAAAAGATAACTTCTACCTGATTAGTTTGAATATTGGATCATTACCAGTTTGCTAGACAATGTATGGATATCATCCAAAGAAATTACATATTGATGTAATTTAACAGAGTTTAAGGGTTAACTTTCTCCAACAAAAAATAATAGTAATAAAAAAAATACTTTATATATTATGCTGCTTATTTCATTTAGTCCAAAAGTGCCCCACTTAGCAAAATGCACAATTTCTTCACAGTTGTCTTAGATGGTTACTATATTCAATAGAACTTCCAACTGACCAGTCTATCCTTCAGTAACAATTTAAAGCAATAACTAACCCATTCAACTATTTTCTATAATATCTAACATAATGCTCTTAATGTATTAGATGTGTAACTATTAAAGAATGTAAAGGGACAGTACTGTTCCAATACTATTCCAGTGTAAATTTGGTAGCCTAATAATGCACAGAGAGATAACAATGTTGGCCACACACACCAATGTCGGTCTAAAGTACCAGTCCAATACTGTGACAAAGGAGTGGTACACCACTTATTGCCACCCATCCTACACACACATATGAGACATAGTTGACAACAAAGAGTAAGTTGTACTTTGGGCTGCCATCCTCCACATCAGGCTGGGATTTTTTGCCTCTTTTCTTTCCTTTCTGAAAAAAAATGAAGAAAACCAATGATGAAAATCCTCCTTCTTTCACCTTATAACTGAAGCATTTTTCGTTGCCAGGAAGCAAATTTACTTAAGGAGCTTAAATTTCCTGCAGATAAACTGAGCTGTTTAATTCTAACCCTACAGGAATATTATACTAAATGGTTTTTATTATCCAACTGCACAAAGTAAAGTATAAATATTGCATAAATAGAGTACAAATATCCTGCAATATTGTATGGTTATTCAGACAGTTGGTTATTTTGTGCTGTGTGTGCTGCACTTCCCTAGCTGCTTTTGCATTGTTTGTACTTTGACTTGCCCTATGGGCTTGTCAAAATATGGCATAACTCGTACAAACACTCAGTGATAATACACACCAAAACTTCTAATAAGATATAAGAATGCAGGGCTAACGTGTTTGGGGGGGGGGGGGGAAGGGGAGAGAGAGAGAGAGAGAGAGAGAGAGAGGAGGAGGGTAGTCCTAAGAAGGACTCTTGGGCGTATTAGTGATTGATATTTCAACAACCTGAAAATAATTTATCACCAGGGTTAAGTAAAGAGTTGTTGTTGAGTCACTCGGACTACAGGACTACAAGACTTAAGTTTTTAGTTTGTCACCAGCATAATAAGAAAACATTCTGAGTTCCCTTGAGAAATCAAATCTCAGACCTGTGAACTTGGTGCTCTACCACTGAGCCACAGAGACTCTTCAGAAAGCTCAGACACTACTATGTTTGTATATGAATCTTTAATTCTAACCTTGTCAAAAACAGGAGGCAGTTTGAACGAAGGGCCATACATCCTCTCACTTGAGTCATAATTAACTTTTGTTATTTCAAAGCATTCCAAGTCCAACACTCGGAAAAGATTGTTCAGCAAGTTTTTGAACACAATCTTACAGAGCATTCTTGTAAGTATTACAAGGGTGTAACCTGTGAAGAACAGAATACACAGTAAAAAATCATTAACATTTGGACCATAGATTCACAATTCACGGAACATCGCTCCTACAAAATTTTAAAGCTTGTACCAAAGTTTGGTTGTACAGTATTTACAATGGAATGCTGAGAAAGAAAACTTTGCTGGGTTCAGGTGAAGCAGTAATTCCTAAGCAGATTTCCAACCTATTTATGGTATTTTGTGGCAGAAACCTTCACAACTTGGTTTACTGTGTTTATACTAGACAATAAAATAGCCAATCAAAACGAAGGGAAGCCATTGCATGCTGAAAACTTGATCTGACTTTTAACTGCAACAAATTTAGTTGGCCCACTTTGTCCTTATATTATTATTATTATTATTATTATTTTTTTTTCCAGTTTATATTGTAACTTAGGATATGTGATTTTATCTTAAGAAATAAAGATTATTATTATTATTATTATTATTATTATTATTATTATTTCCAGGGCAACTTTCGAAGCTGTAGCAGAAACACTAGGTTATCGAAATAAGCTGACAACCAACACATTTCACCCTCTACTAAAGCAAACGAGAAGCAAACAAATCAGAACTCTGGTCAGAGGAAGAAATTGTTCAAAGTAAAAGAATACCAGTTAAAATTGTTAGAAATGCTGTTACAAAATATAGCACAACATGCAACTTAATTTCTTGCAGATTTTTAAGTTGATTGGTCCACTCACCAAGCAATAACCGCACAGAGGAAACCCAGAACAAGGTAAAGTTGGACACATCATCTAAAAAAAAAAAAAGAATATTGATGTGAGAATTTACATGCAGGTTTGAGTAGCCCTGCTGGTTCATAATATTGTGTTTAAGATAGACTTCAAGCTCCAATATAAGCATAATTTAAAACACACCAATATCAAAGTCCAGGATAGCTTTGTAAATGGATGGCTGTCTTGTGGATGTGGCCTTGCCAATTACAAAACCAACTGACACAGCAGTCATTGCAACCTAAAAAAAGAAAAATACTTTCAGTCTTACAGTCTGCTATATTCTCTGAAAGGTCTACTAATACTTTTCATATCTCCTGAGGGTCTGGCAAAGATAGTTTATGGTAGCTTGACAATCTTATAAATAACACTGTGACCATATGCTTAAAAAAGTAATTTGCATAAAAATTGTAAATTGGGAGGACTGGAGAGGAAAATGTGTGGCTTGAGATCAGGAAGTATGAACCAAGCGCAGCAAGGTAAGTACATTATGATCAGATCTATACATTTTTTCTCATCCAGCCTGACCACACTCAGTCAATAAGCATTTTCTCAAATGATCACCTTGTGCTGAAAATTTAAAAAAATTTTGTATCAAAGTAAATGGGATGCAATAGACTGGGTGCATATGGGTTGTATACTAATAAAATAAATTCTACAATTAAAACCTGCCCTTTGTTTTTTTCAAGTCAGAATGAACAACACACACTCTATCACAAAACATTTTGTTTTCCTGATTTGTTTTTCTTTAAGTTTTTGCAAAAAGCTTTGTGAGTACAAGGCCAGACAGCTTTTCATGGACCACCTCAGGTCAACCCATTTCACCATACACTTGTCACTTTTCACAATGATTTTCTATGGGATTTACATGGGGCTGGCTGAGTTCTATAAGAATGTACAATACTACAGGACAATCTTGCCAAAACAGGTATTTGTTGGCTACAAACTTCAACTAAATAATAACTACGCATTTCAAATGACACCAGAATTTACCGTTTCAACCAGAGACTGCGTACGGGGCTCAGGACGAGGGTGAAGAAACAACAACAACAAGGAGTAAACAATGGCTTGAAGGACAACTAAAAAGAAAAGAAAATTAAAAATCATTTCAGTTTTCAACCATCCTCACCCCTTCACTCCTACATCTTATCAGTAATTCTCCTTACTGTCTACAATACAGTTCTTGTGATTTTAATTTGGAGAACTTGATATTGGATCAACAAATAATACCCTACTTGATATTTTTCTTTGTTCTTATCACCTGTCTGCTTGATTTTCATTTTGATATTGTGGGGAGAAATTCTGCCTTCATCGCTCATGGGAGTTAATGGGTTAGCTTCTCATTAAGCTGAGTACACAAAGAGCAAAATACTGTACACCATATAACTTTGATAAACTGCTCAATATCTGCATTGTTCCATTTTCAAAGGTATCCACACTCTCAAACAATTCTAAGCTATTGTTTCACTTTATGGGGAGACAACTGGCCTAATGGTTAGCATGCTAGACCCTAAATTGACAGGTCCAAGTTCAAGAACCTGGTAGGGCCTCTGTGGTGCCTACTTGTTCAAGAAACTTTCCTCTCACAGTGGTGTGGCTCTCTATCTGTACAATAAGTGCCAGAGAAGCCTGGCCTGCATTCCATCAAGGGGGGAGGAAGGGGAGAGAAGCAATACCCTTATTGCTTCAAGCCGTGGAAACCGAGAGAAGCTCAAGATAAGTGGGCAAATTGGCACAAGTATAAAACGTTTTTCACACAGTCTGTATGCCTGATTGACACTGTATTGAAATTGTAAATGGAACTGAGGTACCATTCATTCTGAAAGTGAACAATTAAGGAATCTGTACTACAGCAATACATACCATTATCCCCAAAGCTGATAGATCTGTCCACAATTGAGTCAATCTTTATCCAGTATGCCAGAATGACGCAGCCAATAATTCCTCCAGCCACAATATCTGCTGGACTGTGGACACCAAGGTAAAGCCGACTAAACATCACAGACACTGACCCTAAAACACAAAATACAATTGAAAAAAACCCCAGCTCATTGAGTACATTCAGGTAATTGCATGAGGTTGAGTAAAATTAGGGATTACTATCACATGTGTTTTCAGAAGTTATAGGAATTTGCGACAAAGGCAATTCCTGCAATTTTATTTTCGTACAGCAATACTTAAGTAATGAAATTATAATACTCTTAGGCAAAGTTAGGCCTTCTTTAGAGCTCTCACTTTCAGGTAATTTGGCCTGGATAATCACCCTATCGATGAAAAAAAAAACTGTCACAATCAATCAGAATCTGGTAAGCACTATCTTATCATCTCATTTAATTTCACAAGAGCATCTAATGACGCACTGTGGATGTTTGACAATAAAGAATTAATCAATACACTGTTTTCAGAGCCTTTTCTTTGGCTCTGGATGCATTCTTAAAGATCCAACACTGAGTATGGAATAAGAGGCACTTACAGTAGACAATTAATCCAAATAGGACAGCAAATCCCCATTGAGGCATAGAAAAGTGAATGTAGGAATAAAACCAGATATACCTAAAAGTAAAATACTGCCATTCAACAATCTAGTTCAAAACAAAGAGAATGGATTCCCCTCTGTCCCCCACATAATTAGGTACCCATCCCTCCATAACCTCTGCAGTGGGCTGGTGACAATTTTCAATAATGACAAAGCACAACAAAACAACATTACCCATTTATTTAGAGTCTAGTAAGACAAGAAAATTAATTACCAAGGAACCAGTACACCCAAAACAGCATGGTGACTTGGAAGACCCCTGAGAAATGAAGTCAAAATTTAAAATAATAAAAAAAAAGTTTAACGTAAAAGGGCATGAAATTGCGCATAATACAGGTGCCAATGCAACTAAATTTTTCACTTTGGCAACCAAATCCTGAAAATTAGTCGCCAAATTAGCAACTAGAATGCTTCATCATAACCTTACCTAGAGATATAGTGAATTAAAAAGACTTGCAAAGATAAATCTATGGCAAACTTCCTCGTTAAGTTTGTGTCCAAAATGCAGCACATGCATCTTGATCAATAATTAGACACAATCTTTGGTTTGGGTGAGCTTGAACGTTGTATATCATCCATCCTAGTGTCCACTTTGTTGCACATTAAAGATCTTTTTTGTAACTTAATTTTGGAGGGTCTATCTAGAACGCTGACAGCATAAAAAAGGGTTCTGTTTGTCTTTAAAAATGGCGACAAACTTTTTTTGAATTAGCTACCACTTTGAAAAATTTAGGAGCAAAGTGGTTATCAGGAGAAAAAAATTAATTTCATGCCCTGCATAATATTTATCATAACACCTATTGGTCTGGGGTGTGTTAATAACCAACCTATAAGCATTGTTGGTGCACCAGATATAGCAATTAAACCCTGCTACACAAGGTACATGTATTGTGGAGCACAGCAACTTTTCAATACTAGTACAGTAACAAACAGAGACATGAAGAGATGGAAATTGGTGTAAAATATTGAGTTGGGAAGCTTAGAAGGAGACTACTGTTGCCCACAGTCCAACCAGCAAAGAACAAAAGAAGGAGATTATATAATTTTATATCCAATGTGGGACAAAGAAAGAAAAATACTGAGTTAGCAAGAGGAAGTGAACCTAAAGACCTTTGAACTAAACAATCCAATGCTCTAACACTGGGCTAAAGAGACTTTGGTGAGGTTGGCTATTGTTAGGTTCAGGCAAGAACTACTTATAAGAAAAATGAACTATATTTTTAAAAAATATTAACATGAAAATGAATTTAATTTGTAACACCAACAACTAACTGAGAGGCTGTTTTCCTTTTTGGAATGCTGTACCTACCATGTTTGTGAAGCCCTTTCTAAGGGAACAATTGGTGGGTTTGCCGGCCGAGGTAGGCAAAGAACATCCTGCGATTCAAGTAAATCAAAGCCATTCAATGACTATGCTAAGATTTATATTCTCTTTTTTCTTATTGCATTCTATGAGACTACCTTCTACAAGCACTTTACTCTTGATTTAATTTCAGAAAAGTCTCCACTTTCTTTGTTTTGATGTGCTGGAAAATACCCTTGATATCTCTGCAACTGTTCTAATATGGCAATAAATTTCAATGGCAGACCATAAATTGTTAACCCTAAAATGAAAACTTAATTTTATTACCTTGATGAATCCAGCAGTGTAGAAACCTAAACCCATCAGTAGGCACAACAACCTTCCAAGTTTAGCATCAACGATCCTGCATAAGAAAATAGTCAGTTTTAACTAGTTTGCAGGTTTCATCACAAACCCTGATAAAAAAAAATTATTGAAAATAGTGCATGATTCCTTATTAACCTGTGGAAGTTTCTACCTACCAAAGAATAAAAACCCCCATGGGAATATAAAAATCTTCTGTGCCAAAGAAACTGTTCAGCTTCATGAGCTTTGTCCATAACGGGGTACGTCTTCTCTATAGAAAGACAAGGAAATTTTGCATGTTCATCAGTAAAAAGCAACTAAATTGATAGTGTGGTCTTACTGTCAGAAGAGTGGAAGAAGGGAAGACTGTCATGGGTAATAGTAATTGGTGGCATAAGTCAGCATAGCAACAATCTAAGGAGTTATTCATCAGTCAAGCATTTTAACCCTTTAATTCCCACAGGTGACCAAGACAGAATTTCTCTTTACAATATCAATACAATATCAACCAGTTAAGTGATAGGAATAGAGAAAAATATAGATTTGGGGATAATAAGTTGATCCAATACTAACTTCTCTTAACTAACTTTATAAGAATTGTATGGTTGACATTTAGGAGAAATACAAATTTGATCTGGGAGTTAAAGGGTTAAGCCTGGTTGGTAAAAATGAAAAAGTCAATCTAACCATTTTGGTTTTGACCACCATACCCAAGAACTGTTGGTCAACAAGTCTTAAAAAACTGGAACCAAGGGAAACACAGTGTTTGTTTTCTCTTTATTCTCCCCCGACAGGCACATTTAAGGGTTTTGGGAAATAAAAGCCACCATTTCACACAGCACCAGCCATTTGGTGTCTTTTTTATTTCCCTAGGAAGTAAGTTAATTTGTTTGTTTTGAGAAGTTAGTGAGTTTAGTTTAGCCTTAGGAAGTAAGTGAGTCTTGACCCATGGCACAAGACATGTTCTTTCCTGAGCAGGAACATAATTAGACTGGGAGATTTGATAACAACTGTGATTGATTAGCCAGTAAGCTTCACTGAGTCTCTTTGTTTGGTTTGGTACTTAGTCATGCTTCCCACACAATATTCCAGTTTCCCTTTTATGCTTCTGGGCAAAGCAAACCACTGTTACATTAAGCCATTCTGCCTAACAACACAATCTTATGTTCCAGAAAGTGTAACAGAGAAGTTGAACTTAACACCACCAAAAAGAAAATACAGATAGGCAGCAAAGTTAAGAATTTGAACCTAAGACCTTCAGTTTTCAAACTCGATACCCTCATTCAACTCCCAAGATCTGATTTGTAACTCTCCCTTCTAGCTGCACATTTCCTTGTAAGCTACTTGGGAGAATCTGATACAACCAGTACATCAATTAAATGCTTTTAAGCTGTCAGATTTGTCTACTCTCATTCCTACTTTGGTTAATAACGTGCTGACATTATGAGGAGAAATTACATGTCAATCCCTTGTGGAATATGGAAAAGTGGGGTAAGTTTTTGAAGAAACTGTGGTGCTGAGTTAATAATTATAGGAGGGTAGTAAAAAGGGGTCCTGATCCTGTTTCACATATCATGTAAATAAAAGAGGAAACTTCAAATGTGTAGTGTACAAGGTTTCAGGGAAATCTTGAAGTTTTCACAAGATGAAAGCAAAAATTCACTAGTTCTGTATGTTTCAGAAGGCAAATCACCTCTCACATTGGTTGGTAAATTCATGAATCACATTACCCTTTCTGTAAAATTCATTTTAGCTTTAGGCATGCATCATGTATCAGTCCCTTATCACCCTTTTATGAGATAATTTGGTTTTATTAACTGAGTCGATGATCAAAATTGGCCACTGTAAAGAGTTTCTAAACCTGAAATTTTGAGCACTAGACCTTTGTTAGGATGAATGCGGATAATCGCATACCAAATCCTCTATTGGCACAATTCACAGTATTTGTTTGCAGACTGTTTTTGGTTGATATTTCCACCTAGCATGTCTAAATATCTAACTCTAAATTCATTCAGAAAGATGCTTAAAGTATTTTAAAACACTCCCACCATTGAAGCTCATAGAATTTAAAAGACCAATAGTATGAGGGTAAAAACAAGATGTGTAGCAAACAAAATATCTTAATTGTATCTAAGAAGATTGACAGACCTTCATCTGTCTTAATTAAAATTAAAAAGAAAGAGAAAGGTAAAATATATTAAAAAAAACACACACACACAAAAGCTCAGTTGTTAAAAGGTAAATAGTATATAATTATACAAACGACTGACTTAAGAGGCTTGCAGGTAAATCAATATTGATTTTTTCACAAGCTTGATATCAGTCAAAAATTAGAAACAGTATACGAGGTTCGCGAAACTAATGCATCCAGCTTTTTCTCAAAAAAAAAAAAAACAAAAAAAACAAAAACAAAAAAAAAAACCGGTTCACCGTCTTTCCTCCTTCTACTGGATTTGCGATGGACGGACACTTAGGAGATCAAATCAGAACTAAACATGTGAATGAAATTTACTGTGTTGCGATTCATTTGCATAATAATGAGAGGTTTTTAGCGTCTACCAATTATTTCCCCTTGAGTGGGCGACCATATCAATTCCTTTAAGTTAATTGTTCGCGAAAGATCGCCGATGGAATGGTCTATGCGTGGCTCATGTCCTTTTACAATAAAAGAAGTATTCTGACTAGCTTGAAAATACAAAATGAACAAAGAATTTGTACTTTGCCCTTCTTGTCATCACCTCTTCGTCACTAATAACTTAATCACTACTGGATATAAAAATTGATTTGATTTTATCGCGATTGCGAAATCGAATGGCAATTAAAAATAAAATCAAAACAAGGTAGATTGTGCGCACATACTAAAAAGGAAACCTTATTGATAGCGAAACACACACATTCAGCTATAGGAAAGCCTACCAGGCTCAAGCAAATGAAAGAGATACGTCTCCAACATCCGGCTGAGCTAGGAAAATGAAAAGCCGGATGCATGCTTTGGAGTCGACGGCAAATAAAGCGCGCAGGACTGAACACATTACCTGAAGCGCTACAAGGGGAGGTGTTCCTATGAGAATTGAGCTGAGAAGACGGTGTCGAAGCCATCTTCCAGCAGGTCCAAGTTTATCTGTGGGTAAAGAAGAAAGAAATTAATCATTACATCAAAAGGTCAGGTGATGCAAAGCTTCGCTGTGAGTCTGAAAAAGCACAACAACTCGTGAAAGCGGGTGGGACAACATCAGAGCGAATTACTCAGCGAAAATCTGCCAAAAAAAATAACTGTAAACAGAACTACGGTAATCATACCTATTGGCGCCGAAATATACTTTTCGCCGTCCTCATCAGTTTCGTTAGGATGTTTTTCACATGACTTATCATCATCACAAAACAAAGAACTCCCTTCCTCGGCCATCTTGACAAGACTTCACCGGCTGAAAGACGACCAGCGGTAATCACGACAGTTGTATGCGCACACTGTCTTCATCCCTCATGCTCCATCAAAATGGCGGACGTCGAAGATGATGAGAAGTTTTTGTATGGAGGTAAGGATAGACTAGAGAATATACCCTCGTAAGCCATATCTCCAGCGCTTGATCCTGTCATGATATATTTCTCTCCGTGCCCTTTAAATTACTTCATAAACGGACAAATGAATACTTTTGAGATGACCTTTTTGAGCTCTCATACATATCGAAGAACTAATTGTCAGATACTCGTTGGAAACTTGTCTCATGAAATTTTCTCCGAAGAATCGTTCAATTTTTCGCTTCGTTTCCCAGTAGAATATTAATTTTGACTCCGGAAAATATAGTGATCATATATCTCAGTAACCTCTAAAGTATGGGTTTGTACAGATTCTGGAATTCTTGAAAAGTTTAGTAATCTGCCTATACAGATTTGGGTCCTGTAAAAACCATCAAAAATAGATTTTAACTCTTGAGTTAGAATAAAATAGGTCTGAGGGCTTATGGTGCAAAGTCTATAAAGTTTCTTCTCTAAACGCTTTGTAAAATTTAGGAAATCTTTCCACTCAAGCTTCTGAAATTTCTTGAGCAGTTTTGCATTGTATTTTTTCAGCACTCTGTGTATGTGCACTGCATCATTGTTACATCAGTGGAAAGAAAAAGTTAAAATCACTCAATTCATCAATTCTGCATGAAGAACTGTTGATGTTACAGCTTGTTTTATCCATCTATTCAAGTGCAAGCTGACTAATTTCAAATAGTGGTTCCCAATTAAAAAAAGTTCCTGTTCAGAATAAATTGTAAATACATTTGGAAAAAAATTGGATTAATATAGTAATCTTTAAAGAGTAATTACCTCTAACTGTTTTAGAAGTACCCCATGTCTTTCAGTCCTTGTGGATATATGATGGTATATTAATTTTTTATTCACTCTAAGGTGGTGATGCACAGGAAAAGGACCAAACATTGAGGTAAGAAGTTTGTTTTCTTGAAGGAGATAAACACTAGGTATGCCAAACAAAGACAGATATAACAAAGTAAAATTATTTTTGAGCAGGCATAAATTCTTTAGTGTTAAATTTAACACTTTTACTCCAAAGATCTGGTTGTTTATTCTCCTTTCTAGCTGCTGCTGCTGCAAAAAAAGTAATTACCAGAATTTGGTGTTAGATCAAGATAACGAATTCTACCTGATAAGTTTGAGCACTCTCATTACCCGTTTGCTGGAAAATGTATGGTTGTTATATGGAGAAGTTACATGTTCATCACTTGTGGGAGTTAAAGGTTGCTTGCAGGATGCGTGTTGTACTTAAGCACATGTCTTGGGCTTAGTCTGAGTTTTCTCCAAGAAATGTAACAGCAAGAGAATATGTCTGAAAAAGCTTGAGCCATTGAAATTTAGTTGGAGAGTTCTCAGTATTCTGATGCCTCAGGGAACACCCTTCTCACTTCCTTATCCACTCCCTCAAGTAATTCATAGGGAACTTTACCAATAATATGGGTGGCAAGTGTCAATAAAAAATCTCTTATTGAAACTTGTATTGAATGAAGGGGGTAAGTTTCTAAAGAAACAGTGGCACTGCCATTGGTAGCGGAGTATAACAAGATATCTGGTTTTATCAACTGTTATTGAGTCATTTAACTCCCAAAAGTGATTAACATGTAATTTTTCTTGATAGCAATAAATTATCCAATAGTTTGAAATTCTTCTTGGTGGGTAATTTGCATTGTCAACTCAGTTGATAAAACCAAAGAAAAGTAATTGATTACTTTTCACTTTGTACACTCTTTACAGCACTGAAATTAAACAAGAACCAAAAGAAGAAGAAGAAATTACAGAAAATGGACAAGTCAAAGATGAAGATGATGCCAAGGAAGCTGGAGAGCTAGTGAGTCTTAAACTTCACCTAATACAACAATTTTCAACAGACCTTTGCATGTTTTGGACAGAAAAGCCACTTTCACTCGCAAGGGTGAATTTGATGAAACTTCTTATGAAGCAGTTTCTTGGAGCTAGTGGATTTAAAATTACAGATTTTATCCAAAGCAAGAAAAATATTGACATCTTCAGTATAATTGAAAATGTAGACTAGTGTGTTACTACTGTTACTGGCAGGGGCATCTTAACCCTCTCACTCCCAAGATCTCATTATAAATTCTCCTTACTGTCTTTCATACAATTCTTATGATGCTAGCTTGGAGAATTTGGCATTAGATAAACTAAAAATCCCTTTATTGATATTTTTCTTTATTCTCATCACTTGTCAGCCTGATGTTGTTTTGATATTGTGAAGAGACATTCTGTCTTGGTTGCTCCTGGGAGTTAAAGAGTTAAACAAAATTAACCAATTATGCTCATGAAAAAAGACAATGATTTTAGCCAAATTCACTCAAGTATATCAGTGGGTAGGACCAGATGAAGTAGAGGAGACAGATAGTTTTCAAGCTATCAATAATTGCTTGTTTCTTGATTTTGGAATGTTAAGTTTTGTGTTGGTGTCCACGGTGACAGTAGTTTGTCCTAGTGCCTGACTTCAAATTAACTGAGTAACTTACAGTTTAGTGACAAATTTTATAGAGCAATGAAGATGATGAGGAGGATGATGATGATGACGATGATGACGATGATGATGATGTCCAGGTCACTATTGGGGAAATAAATACGTCAGCAGCACCATATGGGTAAGGATGTACAGTTACTTTTTGGTACCAAATGTAATGGTTAAAAATATCAAATTTGAAATACATAGGACATGTGCTAGCGCAGAGTAAAGCAAAGTTTGTACTCAAGCCAATTCACCCACCTGGTGGGAGCTTATCCTGGTTTCCTCAAGGAATCAGAGTAACACAGTATCCATTTAAACTCTTGGGTGAGGCACTGTGAGGGTCAACTGTTTTGCTCAAGAACACAACGCATTGACTCGGCCAGGTCAAGAACCCAGACATCTTGACTCAGAGTCCAGCCCACCAACCACAAAGCCACAGTGTTTTCCACATTGCTGCAAAGTTTGTCCAGCTAAATTTACCAATCCCTACATGCACTGTTGCAGAGAGATTGCAAAAAATTGGAATTTTTCTACAAGTGTCTCCTACATGTACCATGCTGATGTTCAAATAATTTTTCCTCAGAGCTCCATATGCAGCACCTGTAAACTGGAATTTCAAGTCAGGAAGTGGATCTGCTGCGGTAAAGGATACAAAAGACAATAAACACATTGATGTGGATGCAGTTGGTACAGTCAATGGTGTGTCTGTGCATGAATTCGATTTGGACTCAGTTGATGACAAACCTTGGAGAAAGCCTGGTAAGAGTTGTGACATCCAGTGATGCTAAGAAAACCACCAAAGTGTAGAGGGAAGTTATGCCCTATTCACAGCAGCAAAACCAGGTTAACTGAAAAAGAATCAGAAACAGAGAACTGAAAAACTGAATTTTTCTTAGGGTTCTAGTGATCTCACTGTGATACATTTGAAGTTGACAAACATCTGATCAACCAGTTTAAATGAAGAAAAAAAGTTTAAGCCGCTCTAACGATCAAAAACAGTGTTAAAACATGTTTAAGATTTGGTGTGATAGGGGTGTTAATTATTCTCCTTTGCAGCACTTGTATGGTCTGGCATGCAACACAGTCATGGACAGAGAAAAGGTTGCATAGTGAAACCAAACACTGTGTTACCAGTCACACATGAGAGTGGTTAACCTGTGGTATCTCTGCTCGGGAAATCAGGCATCCATACTTTGTGTGTAACAATAACTGTTTCTTGTCCACAGGTGCTGACATCACTGATTACTTCAACTATGGCTTCACGGAAGACACATGGAAACAATACTGTGAAAAGCAGAGAAGAATGAGAATGGAATTACAAATGCCAAAGAAAATATTTGTAAGTTGTGATTTGCTGTTAGTTGTAGCTGTCATAATACGTCCGCCATTTGGTCCAATGAAGCTATTTATAGCGCCATCTGAATGCAGCAGAACAGACAGCCCTTTGTAAATGTGTTGTGCCTAAAACAATGTTTTATCCTCCCTTATGGTCTTCGTTAAGTTTTCCCCTTCATATCTACAAGTATGTTAAACCACCTAAACTGTTGTAGAATCGCGAAGGAACTTGAAATATAATTAACGTATCTTGAGTTGCTGGCATCAAAGGGTAAAGAGGTCGAGATGAGGGTTATGCTAGTGCGAATTGCCATCGTTGTGATCTTGGTGAGTTGTTAGAAAACCCCTCCCTTCATTTGTTCGCCGAAGCGTGTAGAAACCAAGAAAATATCGTGGCCTGCTTTTAGAAAGGGGGAAAGGGTAGTTTATTGCGGGTGCGAGGTGCGTTTTTCAGGTCCCGGTGGATTGCGCTTAGCGCCCACATAAACTTTCCTTCCCCACTTTGTACGACGGCCTCGCATGCTATGATGAACAGGAATGCAAATTACTCACACAGATAATACTTACTAGTTCGAATGAAAACAGGGCAATGGTATGTAATCTAACTAAAAATTATACTTTTTCTGCGACTTTTTATTAATCTTTACAACCTTAAACTCTTAGGTATTTTTGGTATTTGTTTCTCTTCTTTGAACTTTATTAACATTTGTGTTTCAGATGCACCCACCAGCCACAGTGGACCCAACCTTGCTGCCTGATGGTTTGTACCATGCTTAGTTAGCTTCCAATTTTCCTGCTCTATATACTGTTTTTCTTTCTCTCCTTGTTCTGCAGAGGTCCCATAGATGCTAATGTATTTTTATTTGAAAACGCAAACCTTTTTTTATGTGTTTGTGCGTATTACTGCAGTAAGTATCCTCAAAACGCCGATGGAAACGTAGACTTTTGAAAACGGTTGCAAAAGTGGGGTCCTTTGAATTGTATCGGTTAGGAAGTGCTTCGTTTCTGGTACGGAGAAGTGAAACCAGTCGCTTGTTGGAATAGTTCTGATAAGATGAATTTTGTTTTTGTTTTTGGCAGGGAGACCCAGAAAGGC